TGAAACGCGCACACACAAACAGACAAATAGACGAAATTTTAATAAGTATTGCTTTGTGGTCTATATTCTGTATACAATACGTTGCAACTTACAGTCACTATTTATTTTATTACATACATGTATATAGTACCTGGGCTACCGAGCTTCGCTCGGTGTTTTTCCCCTGAAGTACAATTTTTCTATATTCTTTTTAATTCTTTTTTTTTAAACTAAAAACTTGAATAAATATTAAAAAAAAACAAAAGTAAAAACTTTGCAAGCGACCGAGATTTGAACCTGGACCTGAGATTGTTGATCTTGCACCTTGGCCGCTTGACCACGATGCATATGCCCGAGCGTGCAAATTACCGATCCTATTTTACGTAGAATAATGTACACTTAATTATTGCTGTATAATTCATGTCGACGTGGAATAGTGATAAGAATGCTGGCCGCATTCCCCCTCTGAATGGCAATGCCGATTTTTTGGGCGAAAAATGAGCCAGCCCTCCTGCCACCAGTAGGGGCGATAAGACGAGGTGTTCTGTCTTTTAAGAAATATTTAGCACCTTTTGTAACCATGGATGAAATAGCTGGCTTTACCATTACGATCTAGAAACAAAATTCGTCTATGACTTGGAAAAGACAACCGTCTCCAACCCCTAAGAAAAAGGGGAGTCATGGGCTCTCTTTTCTTTTATAGTTAAGGGGTTGTCATGATAGAATAACTCGACCATGGAGCTACTGTTACGGGTTCGTTATATGTAGAACAAATAAAAAATTGTGTAACGAAATTAGCGAGAAATGCAAAGCAAACTAGCAAAAATTCTTTTGTTCCATCAAGATAATACCCCGGTTCACAAGTTCTCAGGTGCTCAGAATGAAGAGTTCTTAAGAAAGAAATTTAAAGCTTAGAAAAAAGATATTACGAGTGTATTATGTAAAAACTGACTATATCAAAAAATAAAACAACATTTAATAAAAGTTACCGTCAACATACTCATTCTCACTTTTTATTGAACACCCCTCGTATATCCATACTAATATTATAAATGTTTTTCGAAATTCATCCCATATGAAGGTAAAATAGGGGATGAAACTTTGTATGAAACCTACCTTTAAGAGATTTTTTGTAGTTTTAGCGCGAGCGAAGCCGCGGGTTCTGCTAGTTCTTATATAAGTTATATAAATAGACTATCTGGGAGAGAAAAATCTCTAGAAAAACTGAATGTAATCGCTAATTTATGTAGCCTGGACCGTTTAACATTCTATTGTACAAGTTATAACTATTTTACTAAAGATTTAATACCTGCAGTTACATTGTAAGCAATTATATTTATTCCTATAAATTTAATGAGCTTTAGGTATATATGTATTTATTCTGTACATAATGCATATGTTATATACACACGTCAATAATGTTAAACATACATATATTATGTATAAATAAAAAAATATTAATATCCATATATTATTTGTTCATGTATTTTATAGTTTTTAACTTAAATGTATTTTGATATTTTTCAGTCACACAGATATAGATATTTAATTTACAGAACATTTTTAACAGAAATATAATACTAACGCCTGCAATAATTTAAAGAGCAAGATCTCAAAAAGCAGAAAGGGTTAAATAAAAATAATATGAGATAAAAACTTAAAAAATAAATAAAAACCGACTTCCAGGCACTAAAATGAAAAAAATAACTAAACGGGGATTTTCATTTAGATCCTATCCTAATCAGATATTTTCGAAGTCGGTGTCAGCCGATGCAAAGCAAATCTAACATATGTCGATACGTAAAATACAATTATTTAGCTATTAGATATTCATATCTTAAAATATTGTCAGCTGGCTTTAACTTTACTATCTTAAATCATTTTTTTGATTGTATTATAACGTGTTTTCCCGTGGGAATGAGATAATCTCCTGTTGTAATATAAATAAAGTAGCCTATGTCACTCTCCAGCCCTCCAAGTATCTCCACACAAAAAATCACGCCAATCTGTCCAGGGCCGGATTAACCCTATCAGGGCCCCTAGGCAATGCAATTCTCGAGGCCCCTTGCGTTTACCCTTTTCTTACTTTTCAACCGACTTCAAAAAGGAGGAGGTTCTCAATTCGACTGTATATTTTTTCAACCGACTTCAAAAAGGAGGAGGTTCTCGTTTCGACTGTATTCTTTTAATGTTTGTTACCTCAGAACTTCGTCATTTATTAACCGATTTGGACAATTTTTGTTTTGTTTGAAAGGGTATACTTCCAGATTGGTCCCATTTAAATTTAAAAAAAAAATACCACCCCTAAGGGTGGAAAAATAGCTAATAAAGAATTTAACCTACTTCTAATTGTCATATTAACTTGAAATTTTGCAAGTGTTTCTATTTCCGTTGATAGTGGTTCGATATTGTTGACCTGATCTGATGGTAAGGCCAGAAGGTGGATAGGTGGAACTCTTCAACGACTAATAGTAGATACTTTCAGTTTGGGCTTATTTTGTTTGGTTTGACAAGCCTAACACTAGAATTCTTACTTTGCTACTACTGTCTACACTAAAAAGGGAAAAATAAAAACTTTTTAACAAAAAAATAAAAACCGACTTCAAACAAAAGCACTAAAAAGTAAAAAATAACTGATTGGTAGTTTTCTTTTACTATACATACCTACTCAAATATTTTCGAAGTCGTTTTTTATATAGCGTATTCTATACTTACCGTTAAAATGTGCCTAGGGACGAACCCGAGCGAACAAGGGTGAGTCGCTAGTCTATACTTAATATTATAAAGAGGTAAAGTTTGTGAGTTTGTGCATTTGTGACGTTGTAGGGGGTAATCTCTGGATCTATTGAACCGATTTTGATGAAATTTGGTAAGAAGATAGTTTGAGACCTTGGGAAGGACATAGGATACTTTGTATGGGGATATACATGGGGTATACATTGGAAAGTTTGTATGGGGAATCAAGCTAGGGACGAACCCGAGCGAAGCGAGGGTGAGTCGCTAGTAAACAACTAAAATGCTGAAATCTTTCATTTAATATGAGAAAATACTAGACCGGTTAATACGAATATATTCAAACGCATGATATTATAGAAAGTAAGAAAGCTTACGATTTTTTTTATTTATCATTATTTTTTGTTTGTTTTGTTTGGTTATTATTTTGTAGTATAATATGTCCAAATATAATTATTATTAATCATTTGTTTAGTAAAGTAATTATATGTAAATTAATTTTCTTTTCGTTACGAAATAGTGAATACCGTGAGTTTCGTCTCAATTTTACATAAATATATTATGGAAAATATATTTTTCTATAAATATTATAGAAAATTTTGCTTTCATATTAAACTTTTTATATTATATAGACGTTTATACGTAATACAAATTTAAAAAAATAAATAGCGCAGACCATATTATTTACGTAATACTTAAAATATTTACATTCATATCGCTAAGCGGGTGATGTTAGGTACTTTTGTGCAAAGTTATTTGCTACGATTTTTTACTTCAGTAATGGTTGTAATACTTAGAATTAATTACTAAAATGAAATACGTATATTATTTAGAATAGAATAATTTTATTTCCTTTAACCCATTAAGAAATATCTGATAAAAATAACTAGGAAGATATATTACAAGAAAAACGGAAACATAAAATCCAAACAATTATAATTTTTTCCTCTTTATGTAAGGTCAAATCTTAGGAACAATCGGTAAAGAAGTTCTAGGTCGCCAAAGTAACTTTTTTAATTACATCATTATTTTAATAGATTTTTATTATTTCTTATAGTTACGAAACACAACATTTCAGGATAAAGGTATCTAACGTTTACACTAGATATCGCTTCATGCTTACAGGCAATTAAGGCAAAATAATAACATTTTCTTGTAGAATAATATAAAATGGTCGTATTAACGCCTTAAATATTATTCCCCATTGATTCTTATCTTACTGATAGTATTCAGAAAGTCGTTATTAATAACGATAATTCTTTTGAATCTCCTCTGAGAATGGGTATTCCGTAGGGATACATTTTAGGCCCAGTTCTGTTTCTAGTTTACACTAGCATTGTCTGTAACAAGTATGTGTTTGAGGCGTCTATAACCTTAGTCTCTCCCGTGACCATGATTGCTGTAAAGCATTCGACACGTCGGGAACCAAAAATAAAAGTAGATCCGCGAAATAATCCGAAAAGATAGTTTTATTTAAATTATATACAATTGTTGTAAATTGACACAACTTACAAGTACTTCTTATAATTATATTTCAGCAAATAAACAACTATTTTTCATCTTTGTTATCCTCTGATGAGCACCAAAATATATTATTTGACAGTGAAAATAATTTTATACACATTACAAATATTTTTCATTAAATTAGTTTTGTTAGTATTTCTCCATTAAGATTTTGTTTACAATATGTACGTAGTATGTATAATCAAACTTTTATCTAATGCCGCTTGCAGGGTAGCTGAGAGTAAAGAGTGCCAAGGATCACAATCTCTGCACGACTTTTTCGCTTCTTCCAATGTCATCATTCTCTTAATACTAGCCTCCTCAGAATTTATGATCACTTTTATCTGCCCTAAAGTATAGCATGTGATCTTCCATAATCCTGTACGGTCTACCTGCTGCGGTTTCCTCTCTCGTCATTTACTTAAAAAGTTAAAAACTCAATTTTAGCTTTCTAATCGTGTATGGCTGGTGATCCGAATATTCAAATCTCAGGTTCAAACTTCTAAAAGTTCTCTGTAATAGTCTGAAGTTAACTGTATTATAACTCTCAGAGATCACGTAAAACTGTAGATCCTACGCCTGATTTCTCACCGAATTTTAAATAATCCCTTCGAATTGTCATCTCATCATATTTTGAAAATAGAGAGAGCAATTTTGTTCGCACACACACTTCTCCACTATAATATCTATGTAGTTGGATAGTCTCAGGAAGATTGTGCACCGTAAATCGTAATTGAAGCATTATTTAGAAATAAGATACTATAAATTAATTCTGCGGCGCCGCAATGAAAGTAAATTCTAAGATTCAGAATGTCGTAGTATAATAAGTTTCTCCGTCTTTATAATATGTCCGTCTTGTAGGGTTGACCCTAGTAGTAAAGAAAAAAGTTCAGTTAAAGAGAATCTCGAAATAGAACAATTGATTTTAGAACACAGAAGACAGTGTACACTCTTCACTTACTTTATATACTCCAAGAGTTCATATGGGCAAAATCTGGTCAAATCAAAATCAAATCAAAGTAAAATGTCAAATCAAAAAAAGATAATAATAAGTGGATAGCAAAAAAAGTGGATGCCAAGCAATCATAAAAAATAAACAATAATTACAGCTAGTTTAGGTGTGTCACACTTAATGGAATTTTATTATTCTTCAAATCCACGAATCGTCTGATATTAATTGGATCATTATACAAGTTACTATTCAAATTCAGCTAACTCTTAACTTTGTATAATTAAATTTTAAATCTCACTTTATACATGACATGAAATTTTCCCTATTCTATTATTTACAACAGAAGAGATTGAAAGACTGTACTCAAATAGTAGCTTACCGCTAGTAAGAAACATTACAGACAGAAAGGTTATTGGAACTACCTTTAGTTAGCTGCTAATTTTCATGTGAAAAAAACTTATAATGGTCATTTGTCAAGTTAAAATATCGACAATTTAATGTATGCAAATCGACTTAAAGACAAATCCTAATACTCGTATATAATCATAATGTTCACATAATAAAATAACGAAAATTATATCTTATAATGAAGTATTAAAATATATTTATTTCTTTAATTCTATATAATATTATAAATACATAGTGCAATAACAAATCCATTTTAAGTTTCGTAACTGAATAGCATAAATAAAATCTTTATAATTTCATCATGTCAGTCTGTATAAATAATATGTATTTTAATTTATTACGGCCATTTTAGTTGGAAATTATTGGCAATTTATTTCTAAATACTGAATTTTAAAAATATTTCTATTTATATATTCTTTATTGCACCAACAAGTAATAAGAAATGCGCAGAAAGTGACGTGACAAAGATGGACTTATCTTTATAAGATATCTTTCAGACAACCAATGTATGTAGGAAGTAGTGTCAAATAGCGGGACTAAAACAGAAAGTGCAAAGAGAAACATAAATTAAACAAAAATAAATACAATATATAAACATATCCAACACACATTTATATACATACATCTTATTATATTATAAGCTATATAATATTTTTAGTCATTTTGATACCACCTTAGATACATTTTTTTTCAAGAAACAGAAATAAACACTCGCAATCCGTGATTTTCATTTTTAATGATATTGATAGAGTACATGTCTAGCGTTTCAGGATGAATCTTTCGATGTACATACAAATCATCAAAATGAGATAACCCGTTTAGTATTTACGAAGAACATAGGTCAAAAACATAAGCCTCCTTGGGCTTCGCCACAGTCGGGGAAAAATATGAAAACTGTTACTAAATAATTTTTAATTAAATATAGCCCGACGTTTCGACGTCTCTCCTGTGATAACTGCAAAGCATTCGAATCGTCGAGAACCAAAAATCAAAATAAATCCGCGAATAATCCAATAAGATAGTTTTATTTAAAACTAGCGATTCACTCTCGCTTCGCTCGGGGCGTTTTATAAGTTAGTATGAAATAGATAGCTATATATTACTATATATTCTATGTACATAGGTATGTGTGATGAGTTTTATATCCCCCTACTTGAGAAATGATTGATTTGCCAAACACACTTTCACCCACCTTTTCACCCCCTTTAGATGTTCCGGAATAAAAACTATTCTATATCCTTCCCGAGGTTTTAAACTATCTTCATACCAAATTTCATCTAAATCGTTTTAGCGGACTTTTAGTTTATCCATTACAAACAAATATACATTTTTTTTTCTCTTTATAATATTTAATAGATAAAATAGGTAATATGAGTGTAGTTCTATAATACTATTACGGACTTTTCTGTAGGCCTTTTTAAAACCTACAATTTTCTACTACATTGTTTTGATGTATGTTTTAAAGTTAAGCCATATTTTGTAAGGACGTCCCGCTAGAATCAGTTATTGTGTTTTCCCGTGTGAATAAAAGATTTTCCTGTAGTTAAAGGTCCTAAATGTTGACCCGAGAATTAATCAAATCAAAATGTACTTTATTCAAATAGACTTTTACAAGCACTTTTGAATCGTTACTTTTTACATTATAAAAATTTAAATTAAATGTCAGTAAACCCGTGATGAATCTACTACTCGTTAAAATCGGTCCAGTACTTTTTGCATGAAACGCGCACACACAAACAGACATACAGACTACAATTAAAATTTTTAATTACTATCTTTTCGGATTTTTTCGCGAATTTATTTTGATTTTTGGTTCCCGACGTTTCCAATGCTTTACAGCAATCATGGTCACGGGAGAGACTGAGGTGTTAGATGTCTCTAAGGTATTATATATAGTTGTTACAGACAGCCTACCCACAATTAACAATAATAAATTCGCAAAAAAAATCCGAAAAGATAGCTTTATTTAAAATGTCAAGTATTCGCGTAAATCTAAGAAAGTATTAATTTTAATTACTATTATTTTGGGACCTATATTAAGAACACATTACGTTACAGTTATTGTTTAAAAAAAATCATGTAGAAATTTCGCTAAGTTACTGTTTTATTATAAGTAGGTAGATAGATCTCAAATATTGGCATAAATCTAAGAAAGTATTAAGGTGATCATTTACATAATTACATGAACAAAATTAGAATCCAAACCTTTTAGGTATGACATAATGCACAACAAACGACAATTTTCAATTGACGAGACCGAAGATTTTCTTCCGCGGGAAACTATTTCCCAATCAATTATAATGATTCACAGCCCTTCGATTGTTATGACGCCAATAATGCAACATTTAATTGTACCCGTCGAATACAGTATAAATATCCTTACCTAGGCGAGAGGTCTTCACAGTACAGTCAGATTCGATCAGTGAGTTATATCAGGATCGAAAATGTAAGTAAATTAAAGTTTTTTTTTTAATATGTTTTTTCAATGTTAATTTTTAAAGCAAAGAAACGTAGATATTAGGTTCTCGTGGACATTCAATTTAAATTTATAGGTAATAATGCCTATGTGCGTATATTTATTAAAACCTCTAAGTATTTTGTGATTTCATTTTTACTTACTTATTACGAGCTAGGATTTTTAGATTTAAATTTATATATGTGATGATAACATAAGGGAAATGCTATAGATGTTTTGGTATAATTGAACTGCCTATATTTTGGTGATCCCAGACATATCTTAATAATTATGGCTCAGACTTTGACTTTAAAGCTAATCATTTTTAGTTGTTGTTCGGATGCCTATTTTTGGCGTATGCTGTTTTTAGTTCCAACATTGTTAAGTATATTTAGTATATTTTCTAAAACATTCAATAACAGTTTTCATATTATCCCAATAAGATTTCATCACCATTTATTCTTTGATCATTTTTCATTTTTCTTATGGAATATATTGGTTTCAAATATTCTCGATTGCTTATTAAAATGCTTATTTATACATATAATAAAATTCTAACTGAACCGAATCTATAGTTACGAGAAACGAGAAAACCTCATTTTTTGATGAAATTTGGTATGATGATAGCTCGTTATCTGGGTCAACATATAGGATACTTTTCACTGTGGGAAAATAATATCTTTGAGAAATCTATAATACTAAAACCCTAAACGTAACTAGGAACTAAGCCGAGCGGAGTGAGGGTGAGTCGCTAGTATTATTTATAAATCCGTTAGTAATAGGCGTGGTTCAATTACGCAGCACGGAGGCGACAATAGGCTATTATCCAACACTAAAACAATAGATAATTATAACAATTAAGCTATTAGATAGATAGATAGATAGATACTTTATTGTACACCACAAAGAAAAATACAAAAAGAAGATATAAACGATAGATGTAAATGATTAGTACCATATTACTTAGTAGGATTCAAAAGAATAAATACTGTTAAGTACCATTATATTCAAGATGGAAAAATATGATTTCATGCTATAATAGAACATTTATCTATCCTTATTTACATAAAAACTAGCTTTGCGTGCGTTTACGTTAGTAGTGTAAACATGTAAACAACATTTAGACACTGGATATTGGAAAGAATTATTATTATTATTATTATTGAAGGGAAGACCGTGCCCAGCAATGGGACTCAAAAAGGGCTGTATATATACATACATACAATAATAATTAATATTTTATTAAAAGATATTTTTTTAATTTTATAATGCTTTATTACAGAACAAATATGAAGTCCGTAATTCTAGTTGCATTGGTGTGTTTGGTGGCGGCAGTTTGGGGCAAGTCCACGTATACTGATAAATGGGATAACATCAACATAGATGAAATTCTTGAATCTCAGCGCCTTTTAAAGGGATACGTCGATTGTTTATTAGACAGAGGCCGTTGTACAACAGACGCTAAAACTCTGAAGGAAACACTTCCTGATGCCTTAGAGAACGACTGCAAGAAATGCACGGAGAAGCAAAAATCTGGCTCTGATAAGGTTATAAGACATTTGGTCAATAAACGCCCGGAAATGTGGAAGGAACTAGCTGTTAAATATGACCCCAACAACATCTATCAACAGAAGTACAAGGACAAAATTAATGCTGTCAAGCAAAAGGCGTAATTAGTTTTATACATTGTCCCAAAATTTCAAATGTTTAGTGAAAACTATATAAAAATAATAACATGTACAAGTTCTTACATTGTAATAAATTTTAAACTATTCGTTATTTTATATGTTTTATTTATAATTGATATTTTATGAAATGAAAATGAAAAAGAAATACAGCTCAATTTATTATTTAAAATGTTTATAAATAATAATAAATAATAAATAAATACGTTGGGACATTAACACACAGCGCCATCTAGTTCCATGGTAAGCTACGAGGCCTGTGTTATGGATACCTGATACACTACACATAAATAACTTTAAATACATATTATAAATATAAACACCCATGACTGGAGTACAAACATTCGTCATCACACAAATGAGTGCCCCCAGCGGGACTCGAACCCGCGACCGCTGGCACAGAAAGTAGGGTCACTACAAACTGAGCCTAGCGTGTCGTCATAATATTTAAAATGTTTATGCAAGCTAGTCTTTTCCGTCTATGAAACTGTTAAAATTCATTCTGTATTTCTTGTCTTTATCATATTTCTCAATTAACTGGTTCCATGCATCAGGATGACTTTCCATCACAGCTCTTATAACTCTTCGAATTAATTGCTTTTGTTTCGGAGTACATCTTCCACACGTAGTCTCTACGGCTTCAGGTATAGCTTCTGTAAACCAAAAACTTTTAATATTAAAGTTTCAAATTTTTTATCCTTGGAGTAAGTACTCGTAGATGCCGAGCGAAAAGATTCACTATAAATCCTATTATATTTAATTCGACATTCTAACATACTATATTTATTTAGTAAATATTTTTTTGGAATATCTTATTAAAATAGTCAATATTATCGATACACAGTCCGAATCTATAGTTTTTACAATTTTTGTCTGTGTGTCTGTCTCGGATTTTAATGAAATTTGGTATGGTGTGGTCAACATTTAGGATACTTTTTACTGCGGAAAAATATCTCATCTCTGAAAAATCTATACTAACCTCAGAACGTAGGAACGGACCCGAGTGGAGCGAGGTTGAGTCGCTAGTATTAAAAATAGTATGTTGAAATTAGACAGTTTTTGGCATTTGTTTTCGTTGGTCTTTTATTATTTACATATCCTTTTTATATACAATGATAGATAATTTCAGTAAAGTAGACGTTAGAAAAAAATGAATAATTGACCTCTCTATTAAGCGTCTAAGGTAAAATGATCCTATGTCCAAAAATGCAATAAAAAAACTTGTTCAAACATACATATAAAGCTTGCACCTTACTTTTAAAATCTTTAGCATCAGGAGTACAAGGCCCTTGGTCCAAAAAACATTTTGTATATCCTAACAGAATTCTGTCATTTTCCAGTAGAGGTTGTATGTCAAAATCATCATATCGTGAGCTATAAAAATCTGCCCAGACCAGAGGTAATATTATAATACAGGCAATGAATACCATCGTTAACTGAAATGAATTAAGTAATTATTAAGTACTAGATATCAAATTTAATGTTGATTATACCATTACCAGTAATACAATGGGGATTCCTAAATGTATAATTATAATTTTTACAGCCTGAATCTATTATCCTATCATATTATTGCGGCAAAACTGTAAGCAATATTATTGCCCATGGTTTTGTAAAATATTACTTATCTATGTACTATTTATTGTTGTTTTGTTTGATTTTTCTATTTTAAATATTATATTTACATGGATTTAGAGTGTGGAGATTAATACCTTTTAGTTTTCTATTAGTGATTCCATAATCCGTTCTGTACAATATTCATTGTATTGTTTTTTTTTTAATTTGATTTTTGAAGTTATAATTCTCTTGGCACGTTTGAAAAAAATATGGGAGTAAAATTTTTATACACTGACAGCTAAACAGCGACATGATGATGTTAGCTGAAGAAGACATGATGAAGTTAACTGCAAGTCCTTTTACAAACAGAGAGTTGTGACGTATGGGATGAAATCTTTAGCTATTTTTGATCTGTCACGCCAAAGAAGTATAACTTCTTACGTGCGTACATAAGTACACACACACGTTTTTATTTTAATTTATTTATAACTTTGAACTGTTGTCCGCAACTTCACATACGTTATATTTACACATATTATAATGTAGTAGTGGGGTAGTATTTACTTAATACCCTTCATTTTCAGTAACATTTTCAGCTCTAATATTATAAGGAGATAAAATTTTGAAGAATTTAAAATTAAAAAAAATTTGCTCGTATGAGTAATGTTCAAAAGGACAGATCTGATTTTGTAATTCTTTCACTAATAGAAAGAAAGATACAATATATGTATAGCGCCAAGTGCTTTAAACCAGCTTGAAAACAGATAAAATGTTTTTGTTTATTGTCAGAAATCGTAATAACTTTTATCAAAGTCGGAAAAAAACTAGCCGTTGAGTTGCTTTATCGTAAACAGTTTAAAATCAAGCAATAATAAATTAGCAAACACACACAACGGAGCAAAGCGGAGGTAAGTCACTAGGTATTAAAAAAGAATATCTTAAAGTTTTCGATAAAAGTTATTACGATTTCTGACAATAAACACATTTTATCTGTTTTCAAGCTGGCTTATAGCACTTGGCGATATATATTGTATCTTTCTATTAGTGAAAAAAATACAAAATCGGATCTGTCCTTTTGAACATTACTCATACGAGCAATTTTTTTTTAATTTTAAAGTCTTCAAAATTTTACCTCCTTATAATATTAGAGCTGAAAATGTTACTGAAAATATGTAATGTCAAACTTTTATTTCCTGCTATGTTACATATGATGTTAATTTTCTAGAATATAAATAACTAAAATATCTGTGGGGATATATTTCGCGAGTGTTGAAATATACCCATATAGTTGGCTCTGTTATTTAAAAAATTAGCCCAAACAATTAGTTAAAACAATATAATAGACATTAAAAAAATATATTTTTTGGGTATCGTGCAAGTAAAGTATCGTGCAAATAGTAGTTATTTTGTGAAAATAAACGTACAAACTTCAAATTTATTGAACATATGTAAAAATATTAATTATTACGGAGTCAAAGTTGCACATTTATTTTATTTTATTGTTTTTCGCCGTTTTATTGGTGAATAAGAAGTATTTAACATATTACGAGAACTACGGGACTTAAAGGGATTTTTATTGCATTATAATTTTTTCCATAAAATAAAGAGAAAAGCATGAAAAAACTTCTAATTTTCTGTACTTTAAGTTTCTACGCTTAAATAATCTCAGTTAAATCTGAACTACGTGCTTATGAAAAACATATTTAGGACTTACGTGTACCTGCATAAACGTCTTTGGTAAAAAATCTAACATGACTAAAGTATATATTGAGGTCCCTCAAGTATTTATAAAGTATACAAAACTGTCATTACGAGAGTAAACAACGTGCATAACCGACAATTTACTATCTTTGGAATCATGAGACCCATTAGTGTATGCATAAGATGTGACAAATAATACCCAACTGTTAACTTGCTTATTTCATTACGTTAGATTAGAATAAAGTTAATAATTTGTAAAATATTAATAGTGTGCCAGAGAATGATTAGAATTATATGTAATGTGTTAAAATTAAATGCAAAAAGAAAAATAAACAATAAATATATTTTCGTAAATTCCTATCCGCAGTTCATTTATTATTACAATTTCTAAAACGATGACGTGACTAAAATGCCTGAACTTACTATTTATTGCCCGATAATAAAGATGAATTAAAATAATATATTATATATGTAATAAAAATATTGAAATCGGTTCATAATCCTCAAATATTCTAAAAATTGCATTTCCCCAAATTCTAATATCGGAAGTCTAAAAAAGATAGATTCTTCCAGTTTCCTTAATATTTGTAAAATGGTATGTATAATATGTACCTATATGTATATTGATTAAAAAGTAATTTTAACAGCTTTTCCTCCTTTTATTCGGTCGTTTCGAAGATTTGTTCAGAAAACAAAGAATCATCATCACCTCGCAATATTTATAAAGAGTTAAATCATTCATTTTGGTCGCTTAAACAATGCATATAAAAGGCTAAATAAAGCCTCTTTGCAAAGGATATTATAATTGCTAAACAAAACATTCAATGTAATGTCAAATAGTTGTATTTTAGTACGTGTTAGTTGGTATTGGATACCAATTTTTTTATATTTATATTATTATAAAATATTGATAAAATACAAATAATTATGCCCGTGGATTATCAGAGATACACATCTGGAGGTAAAGGTAATTTTGGTATGTTTATTGAGAGAGAACCAAAGATTTGTGCGGCAGGTTTACCCACAGCTCAACCTGACGACTTTGTAAAGGACAGTTTGCAACATTATTTATTGAAAGACGAAGTCGATGCTCTAATGAGCGATGCTATACTGCCTCCAAAGAAACCCAGATCACTGCCACCTCTACGTCATCCAATACCACTTGACAAACGTTTTGCCGGTCCATTTGGACAAGTCGCAGAACTTATAAATCCACCAATTAAAACAAAATTTGAGACTTTGGTAGCTGAACTCAAGGATACTCCTTACTCGTCATATTGGAAAAAACCTCTTGGTGAAACATGTGATCAAGTCCCAATGCTGCCTGAAGGTTTTGATATTTTAGGAACTACTTTTGGAAAAACAACTGAATTTCATGGTAATTTATATGATATAGTAATGCCTAAAGAGCCAATAACTGATAAAACTCCTATACCAAAGCAACCCGGCATTCAAATCGTGCGTAATTATTGCAGCCCTCCTTTTAATCCAAATTTGACATTTGGACACAGAACATTTGTTGATAAACGTGGTTCTTACGCTAAATGTTGCGTAACAGATGATAGAATTTTGCTTGGGAATAGTCAACGGACTATATTAAATAGTATCCAATCGGACATACAAGAAGCCAATCAATCCAGAATAGGAACTGTTTTAGCTCCTAATGAAAATATTAATAATGTTCCAAGAGCTTATGCTTTTGGAAAAATGAAAGCTCCAGATAATTTACTGGAGTGCTTAACCTTTTGTAGTATAAATCCAGACCGAGATTTTTTTAGAAAATGCTTGGCTCATCTCAATTCTCTTCGAAAATGTTTATCAGTTCGTTTTCTTCCTACGTTTTTTCGTGGATTTTATTTGAATATAAAATTTTATGATAAGAAAAAGTCAGGTTGGGTTCTAAAAGGCACTGTGTATAACGAATGCGCGTCAAAACTTATAAGGTTTGATCCCACTTTAATTGAGCCGTTACTATCTATGTGGAAAGCTTTTGATGGAACATGTATTGAATATAAAACATTTGTTGATGTTATTAATTACAAAAAACCTTTACCAAATCTTCCTAAAATATTAGATTTACCATTGGATTGTCTTGACTTTCGTACAACTTATACAGATATGGTGAGACCTGGACAAGAGGAGAATAAATTGCCAATGGCAGGACTACCTTCAGGTCGATACTTTGACTTAGATTATCCTATAACACCAGAAAGGTATTGTAAAGCTGATCGAACGTGCTTACCTCACGAATCTGACATGAAAGCTGGTCTTTGTCCTAGTATTTTAACATTATTACATGTTAATCATAGGGATATGTATGCCAGACGTGACCCAGATACAATAAAAAAAGTTTTTGAAGCGACGGGAGAATCTTTAAGTGAGGAAAAATTTAATTCAGTTTGGGAGGAAGCTAAAAAATACCATTCACAAGAGTGGGTTTGTTTTGAAACATTTCGAAAAGCTTTAGAATTGTACTCAAAAAATAATGAGGAAAATAAAAATATATAGATACAAAAGACTATTTTATTCCGTTTTTCGATAATGCAATATCAAATTAATAGTTCCAAATTTCGTTTTTATTTAAGATTTAATAAAATCTTCAAAAGCTTGTTGATGTTTTCCTTCTGGATCGTAGTGAGACACAAGTTCCTTCCAGATTTCAGGATGCTTGTCTTTTAGTTCTTTAACCAATTGTTTTCCCATTTGCTTTTGCTTATCAGTACATTTAGCACAACGAGTCTCCAAAGCTTCTGGCAATTTTTCTGAAATATAATTTTATATGAAAAGTATTATAAATAATATAATAATAATAGATGTAGATGAAATTATGTTTGCATTTTTATGGTGATTATTTCTGATCTTACTTAATTGTACACCCAATGTATTAATTATTAACTATATTAAAATAATATCTAAGAGTAACAGGTATATTAATTATTAATATAAAATTATGTGTACCTAAAATATAATTATATAATTGCGAGAGGGATGATAAATATTTTTTAAGTAACCAATATCTCTTTCATATATTTTATTATCAACGAGATAAATTCTCTTTCCTTGAAGCAAATCTATGTTTAAGAGAAAATGTTTTGGCTTAAAAACAAGTGAATTATACACATTGCTTAATTTTACTTGTAGCACGTCCTTAGACTTACCTTTAAATTATGTAAGATTTAAAAAATTTTTACTAGATGAAATGCCAAATAATACTTCTTTATATTATTTACCTTATTAAAAAATGGATTTAAGAATCTCATATATTAACGTTTTTTATCCTCTTGGCAATTTTATTTCGCATCCACGATAAAAAAAAAAATTTAATTTGACAAACAATCAAAAATAATTGTTATTGTCATTTTAAATATAAGAGCTATTTAGCACCTATTAACGGAATATTAAGCCATTATAGATAAAAAAATCAATCCTTTAGAACAAAAATATAATTAATATTATTAATAAATTCCTACTAACGTATATGCAGTAAGTTTTAAAGATTTTTAATACGTTTAAATGTCTTCAAAACGGAAATATGGGGGTAAAGGTAATTTTGGAATGTTTATTGATCATAACGATAAAATATGTGCAGCCGGTATACCTACATTGCAGCCGGAGGAAAACGTCAAAAAAACTTTAGGTCACTACAGCTTACAAGATGAGGTTGATGCGCTTATTAGAGATGCAATTTATCCGTCAAATAAACATTTAGTACTACCACCATTAAAAGATCCAAAAATACGAGATATGCGTAACGCTGGAATTTTCAGTGAAGGATCTCAACTTATTAATCCACCAGTAATAACAAAATTTCAAACATTAGTCGAACATTTTAAAAGTACAGTTTATAATTCTTACTGGAATAAAGAAGTCGGTAAAGTACCAGATCCAACGCGTTCTTTACCGGAAGGGTTTAAGATGGCCGGTACAATGGCAGAAAAAACAATTCGAGACAATTTATATGATGTTATTTTGCTAGTAAAAACTGTTCCAGATGAGACACAAATTTCAAAACAACTTGACCGCAACTGTTGCTCATTTAATCGTTATTTAATATTTGGACATAAAACTAACTCAAATCGCTCAGGAGTACTTGTTAAATGTTGTATAACTGACGAGAAAATATATTTAGGAACGTCTATGAAGATTCCAATCTCTGAAAAGCAAGCTGGTTATCAAAATTCATCTACTGCTAAACTTGGAATTGCACGCACACCAAATGATAATATATACTATGTACCTGAAAGGTTCACTTTTGGTAAGCTTAAACCACCCGATAATCTCCCTGAGTGTCTTAGAGATTGTGAAATAAATCCCAATAAAGCGTTAATACTACGTTCTCTTGAACACCTTAATACCATACGTAAATGGTTGGCAAAACGCTATAATGGTTCATTTTTTTATCATTTTTATTTAAATTTAAAATTTTTAGACTCCCTTCAGACTGGTTTGTTGGATACAGATATTATTTATAAAGAATGTAATAGCAGATACATAAGATTTAACCCATCTTTAATTGAACCACTTTTGTCTGCATGGCAAGCATTTGACGGTACACGTATTGAATATAATACGTTTGTACATTTTATAAACTACAGAGAACCCTCACCCAATCTTCCTAAAATTCAAGACATTCCGAATGAATATATTATTTTTTTAACTACTTACAAAGATATGGTAGATTACAAAGATATAGACAAGGGTCAACTCAGGGCTGGTTTACCGTCAGGGCGATATTTTGACAAAGCCTATCCTGTAACTCCTTCGAGATATTGTAAAGTGAACAACATATATTTACCTGAAGAAAGTGATATGAAAGCTCGTTTATGTCCGAGTATATTAGGCTTACTGGGCATAAGTCATCACGATATGTATGCTGATCGCGATTCACAAACCATAAGGAAATTGTTTGAAAACGCTGGAGAGCAATTTGACGATGAAAAATTTCAAAGTATTTGAAATATAGCTCAAAAACGTCATTCGAAAGGGTGGATATGTTTTGAAACTTTTCGAGAATCTTTAATTGAATATGATAGCAACGAAAAAGTAAAAAAGACATGATATTACATTTAAGTTTAAATTTTGATACTAATATATTTTTAAGATTTTTATAATATCTAGCTCTTTGTTTTTGTTTATGAATTAACTATAGTATACATAAATTTTATGCTTCTTACCTTTAAGATGTTTGATTTCTGGAGTGCAAGGTCCTTTATCAATTAAACACTTAGAATACGAAGTTAAAAGTTTATCATTTGTCAAAACTTCATCAAGATTTATATTATCGCTTATAGACTCGTATTTATCTTCAGCAAAGGCCAACGCGGCCATGCAAAAGAGAATTATAAGTTTCATGCTGCTACTTGCTGCGCAGATCGATATAACAACGAGTAAATCACAATAGGATATGATTATAAGAACAAGATCGTTCCTGTATTTATATAGTTTACTTGAAATTCTTGGGATTGCAAGCAGAAGCAAATATGTTTAATTATTATCTAACATGTTAATTTGTCCTTGTTATGGCGACTCATTATAATTATCTACACACAAGTGCATTTCATGTAAACTGATCAATTATTTATGATTGTGGTCTGGGGAAATATACTGCTGTGATAAATCAAAAGCAGGTTACTATTATGTTGATTTTATTTAGTAAATGCATGTTAATAATACTTATTTAGCTTAATTAGCATATGAAATGGCGACAATGTGAACAAACGTAACTGTTTCATTTTAAGTAAATATAGTAAAAATAATATTTTTTTTAATTTAGGAAAATCAGAACATATAATACTAGAATATATCTTAATATAATTGTTTATACATTCAAATTATATGGTAATATTTTCGTATGATTGTTATTTATATTGATAGTTATTCTGCCACACACCTGTCTTGGCCTTTTTCGCAAAGAACTCATATATTTTTATTTAAATAATTTAATTAATCATAATACCATACATCTACTCTTATTTTTTGTACTTATTTCAAAAGGCCACTCAAGTTTTATCATCACTTTTTAGATATTGTTTAACATTTTTGAAAAGTTACTACTTTTGTGTACAACGTACAATATTATATCTACTAATTACACTAAACACCAGTAGCTAAGAAGGTGTAGAGTGCTTCTCTATTTGCCTGTGTTGGATCATACTTGTCTAAAAGTTCTAAGAAGCGATATTCGCTTTTTGATCTTATACCGAGAAGCAGTTTGCGAACTACTCCCTTCTGTTTCGGAGAGCATCTTCCACAAGCCGTTGTTATGGTTTCTGGTAAAACACCTAGAAAAAAATAAACACTTAGAACTTAATATTTATATAATAATGTTTTTTAAATAGGTATATAACTACATTTTTTGAAATGCAGACGTCAGTGTTTAAATTATATAAATTAAAAACTTTTAGACAAAACGCAATCAATTTTACATTTTTTCAAATATCGGGGCGAATTTGTATTTTTCGTATTCTCATTGGACTCGGTCATTGTGGTTTTCGATGGGTCAACAGGATTTTAGTCTAAGAGATCAGATTTTATTCTAAGTTTTTATGATAAATGTCTGTAAATGGTGTTTGATTTTTTACCCGACTTCCAAGGAGGTCCTCAATTCGTCGGATTTTTTTATGTATGTGTGAACATACATAAAAAAGATTCCGATGCTTCGAGTAATCGGTGACGATTACTCGAACGATCGACGCCTGAACCAATTTGGTTATTTTTTTTGTTTTAAGGGTATACTTCCCAAGTGGTCCCATTTAAATTTTATCGAAATCGGCCGAGTGGTTTTTAAATTATCAACAATAAATTATTTATTTAAATAAATTGCTTAGTCGAATATGTCATTAAAAATCTTCCTTCTTACAAATTACCAGCTTATTACGTCTACACTAAAAATGGAAAAATAAAATTATTTATTAATTATTATTAAATAATTAGTTTTATAAGTACCGTATATAACTTCATATGCATTTAGTAAAAATATGTTATTTTGACATTACAAATAGGTACTTCAATTTTATTTTTTCTTCTTTTTTCAGTTTGAGGTAGAGAACGCAACTTGAATAAATTTTTATTATTAGATAAAAGAATAAATTTATAATTATTTATTTTTATTATACTTATTTATTTTAACAGTATTAACTATAAAGTAAAAATTCTTATTTATTTTATCAAACAAATGTAGGTACACCGTGCAAAAATCGAACCGAAATCTAGTAGGTATAAGTAGTATCTAACATACAAGATAAGAAAAATTAAATTCATCAAATTACCGACAATATGTAGAGACTTACGTTTAAAGTTCTTGCCGTCCTTTGTGCAAGGTCCTTTTTCCATGACACACTTGTAGTAAGCGAGTAGAATTCTCTCATTTTGTATGATGGAATCTGTATTGAAATTGTCATATTTATTGACAAACTGTTGATACTGTTGTGCTGCACATGAAGCCAAAACCACTAGCGCACATAAACATAAAATCGAGCTCTTCATTTTTCTGAAAAAAAAATATATGCTAACGGTAATCTTATATTTCTCATGTGTTTTAATCATCAACCTTTAGCTATGTAAATCCATGTAAGTACATAGGATACCCATTCAAGATTCAAAGAACTATGCATATTGCTGTAAAAAAAATATAATATACTTAATAGACATTGCAATATTGTGTCACCCTTAGAGGAAAATCAATAGAATTTTCCATTACATGTAACGAATACTTGAAGTATCATACTTAGATATAAATGATTAAATTTATAAATACACTAGCATTGCCCGCGGCTCCGCCCGCGTTTAGATGATCAAAAACCAAATTCTTAGCTTTTACATATTAGTATACTCTTACATTGCAGTTATTGTGTTTTTTCTCAGAAATTACATATTTTCCCGCGGTAAAAAGTATCCTGTATGTTGTCCCGGAAAACCAGCTATCACCATACCAAATTTCATCAAAATCCCTCCAGTGGTTTTTCTGTGATGCGGTAACAAACAGACAGACAGACAGACACACAGACAGACAGATAGACAGACAAAAGTTCTAAAAACTATAGATTCGGCCTCTATATCGATAATAATGTTTATTTCAATAAGATTTTCCAAAAAATATTTAATGTGCAGATTCGGCTTTTTATCATATGTATAGATTATAAAAATTACAATAATAGCTGATTGACAATATTTTTTATACGAGTAGGTACGTCCACATACATATTCATACTCTTGCAATTAAAATAATTCAAATCATAAATTACATAGAGACCAGTGTACAAGGGATTAATTAGTGACGGTAAAGAAACACCATACCATAAAAACGTTTAAAGATTTATTTATAAAAACTTGAAACAATTAACAGCACATATTTCATCTATCTGTCTGTCTGTCTGTCTGTCTGTCTGTCTGTCCGTTACCGCATCATGAGAAAACCACTAGACAGATTTTTATGAAATTTGGTATGATGATAGCAAGTTATCCGGGTCAACATATAGGACTCTTTTTACCGCGGGAAAATGTCTTATTTCTGAGAAAAAATACGAAAACTGCATTGTAAGAGTATACTAATGTGTAAAACCTAAGAATTTGGTTTTTGGTCATCTGAACGCGGGCGGAGCCGCGGGCAATGCTAGTTTATCATAAAATTTACTTCCGATAGATTTTTTAAAATATAAATATAAATAAAATCATCCATTATATATAAAACCATGTATGAAGGCAAAATTTACATTATATAATAGTATTTTACTCGCTTTATGGACTTTTTTGTGATTTTACTAAATACAAAAATATTTTTTGTATCCTAGAAGTGATGATATCAGACTTTGATTTATTAACAAATGAGTAAATGAGTATAATTTATGATTTACTTCACTTCACTTACGATCCAAATACAAATATAGAACAGATCCGAATATTTGCAAAACAAAAAACCAATTTCAATAATGACTGGGTCAACGTCGCTTTCGCATTAACTTTCTAAGCGGAGTAAAAATAATTGGGTACTCACTGTTAGATGAAAGTATGAAAGTTGCAAGTCCTTCTGTTGCGGCGGCCAGACTCGGTATGATGTGAGTGGGGTGGCATTTCTCTAAAGTGTAAACCAGTCCCAGTGTGAAGAGGTCGATGTAACGGACCGAATACAAAATATATGCCCGGAATCAAAGAAAGTAGAAATGGAAGGCCGAATGGTAAATGTATTTTTTACGTCTTGCTATTCATCTAGTCTAGTTTAGTCATACAGGTTATTTATATTATTATTTTATTTTATATGAAATAGAAATGTCTCCTTTCTAAAGTAGGTTTATAAGTCAGCAGAATAATTTATATTTGACGACACGTTTGGCTCAGTTTGTGGTGATTTTACTTGCTATGCCAGCGGTCGCGGGTTCGAGTCCCGCTGGGGGCATTCATTTGTGTGATGAGCACGAATGTTTGTACTCCAGTCATGGTTGATTATATTTATAATATGTATGTTTTTAAAGTTATATACATATGTGTAGTGTATCAACTATCTGGTATCCATAATACAAGCCTCATAGCTTACCATGGAACTACATGGTGCTGTGTGTTAATGTCCTGACATATTTATATTTATTTATTACTGAATGTAAGAAATGTTTGAGTTTTCAATATTGATTAGTATGATCAATGATGTTCAGTAGATATCTTGTTTCTTTAACGTTACCTTGATCGTTGTCGCTGGTGATAATAGGTTCAATTTCTACTTGGAGCAGTAATTAGAAATATTTTAATAAAGTGAATAAATAAACATGTAGTGCTACAAGAAAAAATACCTGAGAAATTTTCGCTAAGTCTATTTAATAAATAAAGAATAAAGCCAAAAATAATTTATAGAAAATTTATTCATCCTACTCGTTATTTACTCGTTATTTAATAAGATTTCAAATTATTATGAATTATTTATTATGCAAGTAAAATTAAAACTGCGTGATGTTAATAATGTAATTATAATCAGCTATAATCAGTGTTCCAAATTAAAACACAATAGAAAATTTGAGATGTGCCCGTTAAGAACCAGTATGTTAACAATAAAAGATGATCGAAGTTGTCTTTATGACTCAACTGAACTGCATTCAATGATTTTTTTACCTAAATCTAAACTGGTTTTTAATGTCATTACACTCGACCCTCGACCCATTTTATATTGTATATTGAAATTTCTTATTTCTTATTAAATCTTTGTTACTAACCATATTTTCTGAGTTCACCCATGGTTTTATTTAAATTTTACGGAAAAATGGAAAAAAATTATCAATATTTCTTAGTCCTATTTGCCCTCTTTGAACCCTTTTCTTTCCCAGGTTAAAAATAACCTAGGTAACTATCGTTCGAGTTCCCGCTTCAGTCGTAGAATTCCGAAAACTCCCGAGTCAAAATCCGCTTAAAATCGATGTGTTTATTGTGACGATTAGTGGTTACTAATAAACAGACAGCAGACATTTTTATTAATATTTGTTTATTGATTAATGTATCGTTAAAATAATTCTACATATGTATGTTAGCTCAAAATGAATGTATATACCTAATATGTGATTAAATATGTTGGGACATTAACACACATCACCATCTAGTTCCATGGTAAGCTACAAAACCTGTATTATGGATACCAGGTAGTTGATACACTATGTGATATAACTTTAAATACGTACATATTATAAATATAAACACCCATGACTGGAGTACAAACATTCGTGTTGATCATACAAATGAATGCCCCAGCGGGACTCGAACCCGCGATCGCTGGCACAGCAAGTAGGGCCACTACAAACCGAGCCAAAAGGTTGTCGAAAACGAAACGAAAACTTGTCGATTACAAAATAACTATGTGATTTATTTATAACTTAAATTCTATGGAATATAAGAAATTGTACGTACTTACCTACTTATTTCTTTTACATACTAATAAAATAAAATACTAAGCAGTGGTAAATTGCATTAGTGGAACTCACTAAACTTGTACAAATCGTTATTCTATATTCGAACTTCCTCGTTTAATTTCTTCTAAAGTGGTCCTGTCACTATGAAACTGGTTAAACACCACACAATAAAACCTTTTTGTACAGTAAGTGCATATTATGTACTTACTCGTATTAAGAATTAAGTACGTGCAGTTTATATAGGTAAGTACATAGTATAACAAGTTTTAAAAAATATATATAATTACCATAAAATATACTAATTTATTATTATATTTATTTTTTTATTTCTGATAACATTTTATTAAATTTGATATTGTTACATAGATATATATATAATATAGATATATACAGGGCTGGATTCAACCTTAGCGCCTTAGCCTTATAGTAAAAAAATATCGAAAATTATCGAAACTTTGCAAAAAATGTGTAAAGTTTCGATTAAGTTTAAATGTTTTTAATTATTAATATTTTGAAAAACGCAAAATAAAAAATAATTTATAAATGATGTAAATTTTTCGTAAACAGTTTTTTTATAATATGTCTTTTAACGATGAAAATAATTATATAATAAATGAAATTAAACAATAATTCCTATAATTTATGTAAACACGTTTTTATTGTAAAATGAATATTTTTAGCGTAAGAGTGCTGCAAAGTAGACTTGACACGCATTTTGGCTAAAAAAAACTCATTTCCACACCACTATGTTATGTAGATTATATTAAATAAATTATTCGGTATTATTTTATACCAGCGAATCGCCCTCCCTCCGCTCGGGTTCGCCCTTAAGTACGTTTTAACGGTTATTATGGAATAAGTACTAAGTAGTCGATCCCTTGCTTTGTGAAAAACAAAAACAAATCTATCCCACGGGAAGTGAACATGTTTCTGGGATAAAAAGTACTAACCTATGTGCTATTCCAGACTATATATCTCTGTGCCAAATTTCATCCAGATCCGTTTAGCAGTCCTGAATATTGTTCTAAAACAAAATTGAAATTAATCTAAAAAAAATATTAAACGTGTAAAATATCTATTTTGAAATGATTTATCAAATGATGTTAATCATACTTTTATATCAGTTGTAATTCATGTGTAGGTTTTCGTTGTAATTCATGCAATTCATAGAAAATTTTTCATGTAAATAAAGACGGCAAAATATTGAAGATAAGTATAAGCATATATATTTTTTTACATTATTAAATACTGACACAATGGCTTCTAAATATCGTTCATAAAATGTTTAGCGTTTAGCGCAGCTTTTGGTAGTGGATTGCCCTTAATCACGTAAATGTCATCAATTTTGAAATTTATTAAGTACAATTTAACAAAAAAAAAGACAATGAAGTGTTTGAAACTAAAACTAAAACTTATCAATCAAAATCAAACTTGGCGAGAGCGAAACCGCGGATAAAAGCTAGTTTATACATAAATATACCGGATTTTATCATTTAATATTTTAAGAGAAGATTATAGATTTTAAATAATTACTTACGCCTTTGAGTATTATTTAGCAAAAACCTGTAACTGTGTATTGGCCTATTTGTTAAACAAAAGTAATATTGTTTTGACTTCTGGGATGGATCAATATATTTCAAATCAAAAATATAGAAATTACAGTGACAATATGATAGTGATACACACATATTATGACAGTGACAGTGGAGATTTATTGTGAAGAAAATGGGAAGTCTAAAACTTATACAAGAATTGAATTCAATTGCATTTAGCTGTAACATTTTTTTTTCCTTTATTATCATATATATACATACATATATATATATATATATATATATATATATATATATATATATATATATATATATATATGTATGGTATAGTGTAGTATAGTGGTAATCAACAAATAGACAGGAGACATTATTATTATTATTTGTTCATTGATTAATGTTTCGTGAAAAAAACTACATATTATGTGAGCTCAAAATGAGTGTATATATCTGGGATTACAAATAACTACGTGATTTTATTTATAACTAATAATTTCTATAATAATAGTATAATACTTGTATACGTATTACGTATATATAATGAATATTATGTTTCTTTTTCGATACCAAAAATGTTAAAAAATGGTAATTACATTAGTGCAACTCACTAAACTTGTACAAATCGTTATTTAATATTCGAGGTTCCTCGTTTAATTTCTTCTAAAGTGGCCCTGTTAGTATAAAACTGCTTAATTTTAGACTAACAAGTAACATAACACCTTTTTGCATAGCATAAGTATAGTATACGTGCATAATATGTACTTGCTCATATTTAGAATTAAATACTTGCAGTTTATATTACAAGTAATAAGAAATATATTAAATAACTAAGAATATACTACTTTATTAATATATATTAATTTTTTAATTCCTGATAACTTGACTCTAACGAAAATTAGCACTTTAAAGCATAATATTTCACAAATCCACCTTAATCCAAAAATTGTTTTCGTAAACCTGCAATATTTTTGAAAGACCTATTATCGACACCCAACACCATTGGGTAGACGAGAAAAAAAACATTCCCACGTTTACGTGTAGAGGAGGTACCCTTTAACGGACATGGCGAAACTATACGGGTTCCTTGTTGACTACGGAACCATACCAACATATATAGGGACGTACTCGAGCGAAGTCAGGACAACTAGATAGTTAGTAATATTTTGTTGGCCAATGAATGTTCAATGGCAATGCTGTAATCGACTATATTATATTTATGATGGCTTAAATTATACATATAATCATACTTTATAGTGTAGTACTTTCTTTCTCAATGTAATTTATTTTGCAGTGGAAAATGGAGAGAAAAGGATGGCGTTCTTATATCAAGAACGAGATATCCATACTAATATAATAAATGTGAAAGTGTGTTTGTTTGTTTGTCTTTCTTTTATGTCGAAACGGAGTGATTAATGCTCTTCAATACAAATAAATAAATACGTGTTTTGGCATTTTTTGAAATTCATCCTACAAGGGGGTAAAATAAATAAATAAATATAACCTACCTTTTCAGAGATCTTTTTTTGTAGTTTTAGTGCGAGCGAAGCCGAGGGTTCTGCTAGTAAATACTCGTAATAAAGACCATTCTTCAAATTCTGTTTGATGTTAAAGTTCATTTATTTATTTTTTTGTTTTGATATTTTAAATAAATGAATAAAGAAACAAGTAAAAAAATACTAACCCTCAATATAATTGATATAATAATATTATTATAATATCATCAGGACGGCAAACCAATTTGTTATTTATGTATAGAACATTCGTATAATCTATACATATAATAAAATTGTAACTAAGTCGAATCTGTACATTTAAGATTTTTTGGAAAATCTAATTGAAATAGACATTATTATCGATACAGAGGTCGAATCTATAGTTTTTAGAATTTTTGCCTGCCTGTCTGTCTGTTACCGCATCACAGAAAAACCACTGGAGGGATTTTGATGAAATTTGGTATGGTGATAGCTGATTATCCGGGTCAACATATAGGATACTTTTTATCGCGGGAAAATATCTCATTTCTGAGAAAAAATACAAAAACTGCATTGTAATAGTATACTAATATATAAAACCTAAGAATTTGGTTTTTGGTCATCTGAACGCGAGCGGAGCCGGGCAGTGCTAGTTGCAACATAAATACGAGGACGACGAATATAATGTAAACTACATTTTGAATGGTATCTAATTATGAAAATTGACATTTTCCGCAAGTTTTTGAGTATATATTTTTAGACGTGATTTATTTTTTTCAATACAACTAAGACTGTCTGCAAAGTAAGTGTAAATATAGTAAGTAAATATTATTTTGTTTCTAATTAGAGTTTTATGGGTGAAAAGCGCGTCTTGTTTTGTTCATATGAAGTTTTACTGTAGGAATTGAATTATTTTAATACTTTCAAAATTAATAATTTGTATGTATATTCAGCCCTCTTTAACGTCCCACTGCTGGCCACGGGCCTCCCTTCAGTACGAGGGGGATCAGCCATAGTCCACCACGCTCGCCAAGTGCGGGTTGGCGGACTTCACATGTCTTTTGAAAACTTGCTAGGGTCTCTTAGACATGCAGGTTTCCTTCACCGTTAAGACAAGTGGTAATCATGTCGGAAATGATTCGCACATGAAAATATCTTAGGTGTGAGACCCGGGATTTGAACTCGCGTCACTCGGTTTCTCAAGCGAGCGCGTTACCACTGGGTTACCACTGCCACCACTTGTATATATTTTATAACTAATATTATGTATATCTCCTTTTAATTCCACGGGCTCAAAGAACACATTACACAAGGCCCGTTAAGAAACTAAAATTTGTTTGATTTGACGCGTCGATCGGGATAGATATCTGAGTAATCAGTCTAGTGTTCAAAGATAGTGAAAGGCTAATGCTTATAGATATAAACAAACTTCTATTGAATGGAACTGGGATGGGTTATAATCTATTATGGAATTAGAGACTCCAGCTACCTCAAAATTGAATCTTAGGTAGATAATGACTCGATTGCTACTAGATAGCCCCTTAGAAAAAGTCGTACTATCTCGAACATATATAGGCGCAATTAACTAAATTTGAAATATGATAATGATGACTTCATCATCGCGTGATATAGCGATATAACGAACGCGGGAATCCCCGTTATTATTAGGATAGAACAATTACAACATTTCGGTCACTTAGCTCTTGCACTTTATAATTCCGGACTACCAATAAAGCCATTTCAGTGATGGGATAGAAGTTATTTTACCCTGCACGTCTCAGGTTCAAGATATTGCTAGTAAATTAAATTTTAAAATAACTACGATTTCCATATCACACTACGCTATACTTATTTAATATAGACATAACTCATACTTTTTCAGATTCAAAGAAAATGCTATCATTACACTTCATTTTACCTGTGTTTATGGCATCGGCAGTTCTTTGCTACGATGCAAAATTTGATAAAATTGATGTTGACCTAATTATCAACGATAAAGTCTTATTCGCATCGTACACGAATTGTTTTCTGGATAAAGACAGTTGCACGGCTGAGTTTTCTTCCGAATTGAAAGGTATTTATTTTATAAAGAATAACACAGCAGGTGTAAATATATACAAAAGGTGAAATAGATTCGGAAATCGACTAATTAATATATAAAGTTTTTTAAAAATCGAAAAAAACGGACTTTTTGTAGCTGATAAGCTTAAAACTATTAACTTTGAAACTTGAATACGAAACATACGTTTTTTGAACTCTATTTTTTGCTTAAAGCTACGTATAAGTTATATAATGTGTTCACAAATGTATCTACAAAAATATAATTTTATCCTTGTATATTCCATGCATGGTACTTGGAATTACCTTAGTATATGAAAGTAATTTATTAAAAAGAAACTTAACCTAGTTTCTGAGAGCTAGCGGGTTCGATTTCCACAAATATTCTTACAGTTTTAATTAAAATTAAGAACAGCTATTGGCATCAACTACTAGTAAAATCAATAGCATCTCGATTCTAGTCAAGGAAATGAGATTTGTTCTTTTTATTAACCAACGAGGAAGCTTGCGCCATGTTAAAAAAGATGAGAGGTTATTTAAAATTAAAATAAAGTAATAATAATTCTAATTTTTCTTTTATGTAGAATTGTTACCTGAAGTTATTTCGGACGCGTGCGCTAAATGTACTAAAATACAAAAGGCTAATCTCCGAAAAATGTTCAAATATTTATATGAAGAGAAGAAAGAAGTCTTGCTTGAATTGGAAAAGAAGTACGATCCAAAAAATCAATATAAAGACAATTTTATGGCAATATTAGAAAGCAAAGACGAATAATAGTAGTATAAGTAAGTTTTTTCACTGTAAATGTAACCTCGGCAATGTCATAACTTAATAATAAATTATTTGGCAAAGTTATATTAAGTTTAATTTTTCCACCTTTTAAAATTTCCAGTTGTTCTATTTATTTTTTCAAAGTTATTTTTTTTTAAATGCGTTCCACAAAATGTTAGTAAGTATATATGTATATATCTCATTCATCATCATTCATTAACTGCCTCAGTGGTGTAGTGGCTAGCATGTACGGCTGCACACCCGGAGGTCCTGGGTTCGAGTCCCGGGTCGGGCTAAGTTTAGTCATTGAGTCTTTCTGTATAGTAAATCTCAGTAACAGCCCGGAGTTGGGAAGTTGGCGGTGTTTCACCCCCGTGCCTCGGAGAGCACGTAAAGCCGTCGGTCCTGCGCCTTAACTCTCACCGGTCGTGTCGAGTGGTCGTCCCACCGGAGTATGAGAGTGATAGGAATAGAGAGTGCATTTGTGTCTGCGCGTACACTTGAGCACTATAATATCTCCTGCGCAGTTGGCTAGTCTCAATGAGATTGGCCGCCGTAGCCGGAATCGGCTAGGAGAACATCATCATCATCATATATCTCATGTACAATTATAAAATAATTCATTAAAATTAAAAACCAACCCTTTCCTCTATCCAAAATAAATTTAACATTAAATATTTAATATAGTGTATCTAATTCAAACTAATCGTTACAACATTTCTAGAGACGAACCCTAACGAAGCGGGGGTGAGTCGCTAGTAATACATATATAGAATAGATGACGAATCAAATATTTTTTATAGTATGCTTGTACATTTGCGTGAGTATTACATGATAATAAGTATATATATTGGAAATTATTAATTTTTAATTTATATGCAATATTTTTTAAGCTACCATATATATTTTGCAAAGTATATTCATAATAATATCTAATAATATTAACCTACTAGCATTGCCCGCGACCCCGCCCGCGTTCAGATGACCAAAAACCAAATTCTTAGGTTTTAAATGTTAGTATACTCTTACATTGCAGTTTTGTATTTTTTCTCAGAAATGAGACATTTTACCGCGGTAACAAGTATCCTATATGTTGACCGTGATAACCAGCTATCATCATACCAAATTTCATCAAAATCCCTCCAGTGGTTTTTCTGTGATGCGGTAACAGACAGACAAGACAGACAAAAATTCTAAAAACTATAGATTCAGCCTCTGTATCGATAATAAAGTCTATTTCAATAAGATTTGCCAAAAAATATTTAATGTACAGATTCGACTTAGTTACAATTTTATTATATGTATAGATTTGGGATCCTATGCAAGGTGATGATAAACTAACTTTACAATAAATGGTTTTGCGACAAAAGTCCAATAGTAGTATGTATGAAGCTATCGGACTATTATTATAATTGTGAATGTTTGTATGTGTGTGTATGTTTGTTACTCTCATACTTATATAATTAATTACCCAGCATGATCCGTACCTATTAATATTATAAAGGTGAAAGTTTGTGATTATGTATGTTTGTTACTCTTTCACGCCAGAACGGATGAAATTTGGCACAGAGATAGATTATAGAACTGGAATAACATATAGGCTACTTTTTACCCCGGAAAAAAGTACGGTTCCCGTGGGATAGGTTTGTTTTTGTTTTCCTAGAGGCGAACCCGAGCGAAGCAACGGGAAGCGTTTAGTACACAATAAAATACTGTATTGAAATCAGTTCCGATATGTTTAAATCTTAACGCAAAATGGGTATGTTGTTGTTTCAACCTTTAAGGCATTGTTGCTTTTAACCGATTAACCGGTTTTAATATGGTTTTATATTTGAAGGTTTGTACGGTTTTATATTTGTAGATCTTAACTGTATTTTAAGAACAAGCTCAGTCGTATGGAATACTTGGATAAATAACAATACCTATGCTGCTATCATACTACTTGTCATCATAAATATATCTCGCTAGCTGTGCCCCGCGGTTTCACGTTTTTGATTATACATAAATGCCTACTTCCTGTATAGCTACCCTTTACTCGATAAGTTATGTATGGAAGTAAGCCCGATTTGTTGACATTTACGATTACTGCTCCGCTCCCTTGGGCAGTAGCATGATGATATATAAGCCTATAGCCTTCCGCAATAAACGGGCTAAAGCAAAAAGATTTTTTCAAATCGGATTAGTAGTTCCTAAGATTAACGTGTTCAAACAAACAAACAAACAAACGAACGAAGGAATGGACGACGAATAAATATGTTTATAATATCTCGTTACAACATTATATCATATTTTAGATCAACTAAACAGATTATTACCGTTATTATGAACACATAAATTGAAACGAATTACACCGCAGATTGAAGGCATTATACAACAACGGTTACGTCATATTGCAGCACTGCGCAACTGACCCGGCGACATACAAACACACATGCAACCGTACTGCCTCGCCTTGCCTCACTCATACCGACTTTGATCAAATAGGGACTGATCTATACCATATTGGTTATGATGCTTCGATCGTGCGTATATATAATTATTACTAGCATTGCCCGCGGCTCCGCCCGCGTTCAGATGAACAAAAACCAAATTCTTAGGCTTTATATATTAGTATACTCTTACATTGCAGTTTATGTATTTTTTCTCAGAAATGGGATATTTTTGCGCGGTTAAAAGTATCCTATATGTTGACCCGGATAACCAGCTATCACCGTACCAAATTTCATCAAAATGCCTCCAGTGGTTTTTCTGTGATGCGGTAACAGACAGACAGACAGACAGACAGACAGACAAAAATTCTAAAAACTATAGATTCGGCCTCTGTATCGATAATAATGTTTATTTCAATAAGATTTTTCAAAAAATATTTAATGTACAGATTCGGCTTAGTTACAATTTTATTATATGTATAGATTTATACTATGCTAAATAAATAAAGGTTTGCCTGCTTGTATTTAAAGTGTGTGAAAAGCGAATATATGAAATATTATGATAGTCTGTAGTAATAATAATAAAATTCTTGGAAATATCAACTGTCTTATATAGTCACTTTCTCAGCTAGATAAGAGTATTACAAGTGTTATAGGGATAGTTCCAAAAGCCATAATTTGTTTTATTTAGACCGTAGATGATACTTATATGACCATACCACTATGATAATAATGCTCACCTCATACATAGTTATAATTTAAAACTTATGAATGTTATGATTGAATGTACTCACAGTAAATGATAAACAAAGAATATAATCACGAGTTTTGTTTATTGAAATCAGTCAATACCAATAGAAATAATAAATAACTCAATTTACATATGAAATGCGCTCCCGATATTAACAAATATCACAATTGATCTCTCATCTCCAGAATCTCTTACTTTATATAAATCTCTTTCCTTAATTTTGCTTATACCTATATACATTTAAATCTAGTTTTAATCTATTTTTTTTTCAAAATTATCAATAGTTTTTAACTACTCTGGATGAATTTGTCGAAGTTTGCACGATGTTTGCCTGTGGGATCATTTTTCGCAACGAGTTCTTCCCACTGTTTGGGGAATTTCTGTTGGATTGCTTTAATAACTTTTTTGATGTTAACTTTTTGTTTCTCTGTGCATTTACCGCATACCGTCTCGACAGCTTCTGGTAAAGTTTCTGAAAATAAATATTCAATTAATTTTTAATCTACTTTAAATACGTGTATTTGAAATATAATAATAACAATTAATACAAAATATTGGTAATAAACTAAAAAAAAATGCATGAATATAGCCTGCCATAAATATACACATTTAAATCTTTAACTTACTAGAGATAGAAAAATGACACACTAGTTTGTCCTTCTGTACGGTCCTTAATAATTGAGTTAGTATCAACTACTAATATAATCTAAAGATGGAATAGATAATATTTTATCTTTGACCATCTTTGACCAGTATATAACTGACATCCGCTACAATGCATTAAGTTGCATCAAGTCTGCCATATAATGAATGTGTCATATATATTTTCACAACATTTATAAACACTTCAAGGCTTCACTACAAACCTTGACCTCGACCTTTTTATGCAAGTAATCACACATTTTGTCCTGAGCTCCTCACATGCAGAATAAATACATGGTGCTTAGTAAGCATTGCGCATTCATTATTGTCCGAGTGTGTGTAAACATTGACGACGAAAGATGTTGAAAGGATTTTGCTCAACTAGTATTTAACTTTTGAGCAAGCTAAGTATATATTTTTTATTAATTTGCTATATTTTAAGTACAAATAAACTGAAATATTAACTTACTTTTGAAATCAGTTCCTTCAGCAGTACATCTGCCTTTGTCCAAAAAGCAGTTGATATATGATTTGAGCAATCTGTCGTTTGAAATAAGTGTATCTACATCGAAGCTATCATATTTTGAATTATATTTTTCTGCCGCAAAAGCAGACAGTACTAAACAAGATATTACAAATAAGAACTTCATTTTTATTATTCTGAAAAGAATTTTATAAAATTAATTTAGTAAGCAGGTTTATAATGAAATTTAGTAGTAGGTTGATAGTTTTATATGTTTAAAAATACAATGAAGCAAATGTACTGTGATCTGAATATTAATATACGATCAGTTTAATGACAGTACAAATGACTCCTATAGCTACTAGCGACTTACTTTGAATACAAATGAATTTTGATAACTATTCAATATCTTGAAACAAAGGATACAATTTATGACTATAAAAAATATTGTTAAGGGTGTAAAATGCATAAATAAATAATTGATAATGAAAATTCAATAGCAGTAATCAAATGGCACACAGAATTGGATTATAAGAAAAAGGTATCGTGAGCTCGACCGTACGAATGACACAAATAAGCAGGGTTACGAGAGCATTGTGCCCAGTTACGCAACACTATCACAACTCGATTACATTTGACACTGATTGCAATATGCGGTTAGTTCACCCACCTTTTACTCTCTATAGAACCCAAAGAACTAGCCGTAGCAGAAAGCGACAGTGCTTTTATATCGAGGAACATTAACCCACCACCTTCATCAACTCGCAGCCCAAATACAGAAACAACAAGTACGCGATTCTAAACCTTTTGTTGGAACAGATAAATGCTATTGTTTAGCCAGTTATAGTATTGTTAAGGACCCTCTTTGTTGTCGAAATCTATCATATACTCTGTTGAACATTACCAGGAAACTAAATTGAGTAATCCAAAATTCCCTGTTGTATTTGAGACGGAAGAATAATGTGGCAATTTTATTACTTTCCGATAATACCGAAACTGTAAACAAAGATATTTTAGTGCAAAATCTATCCGTCAATGCTGCTTTATTTAACTTTAAACTACTACGGTAATTCTAACATTTTCTTTTTCAAAATGTCTTAATGCATAATTTAAGCTGTAACCTTTCTGTTATATGTTATACATAATAAAGATTTAAAAATTCTCGATTGTGTAAAAAATCATTAGGATAATTTAATATATCATTTTAATTTTCTAAATATTTCTTCTCAACTTGGCCAATACTCAAAGATTGACCGCTTTGACTTATGGCCTTTTTTAAATTATAAAGTTATTTAGAAATATAATGCTTAATATTTATTAATACGGACAGAAATATACAATTTAAGCTATAAAATTATTGCATATAAAATAACATAAATGTTTATATCAGAAGATGAAATGTTAAGTCAACAATCAAATATGCATCAGCAATCAAATTTAGTATTAATTTAGTATCAATTATACATATTTCATATATCTTCTATTAAGATCTAGAATATGCCCCCTTAAAGTTCCCTAAATAAAATGCTCATAATGAAAGCTATCTATCGCACTTGAATTCGTCGCGGATGCGCTAGTGTAGAGTGAGGTCTCTACAAAATGCGTTAGCTTACTATTACAAGGTTCTATGTTAATTTTAATGAAGTTTAGTAATTTTTACATAGAACTTCGTTATTTTGTTATCGTAAAAAAAACAACATAGAACTATGTAAAATTGAATATTTTGTAGTTAAAGTGCCGTTATCTAGTGGTTTGTTTTTGAAAAACTGTAGCTAATGACACATAGAACCCTGTAGCATTAATAACTAAATAAGTACTAAAATTGTAACATAGAACCTTGTAATGGTGAGCCAACGAAATGTCAAATGGCACAAAATATTTACTGTTTGCGAGCTTTTCATAGCGGATCTTCACTAATTATTCATGATTATTATAAATATTCCTGATCTTTGACGACACGTTTGGCTCAGTTTGTAGTGACCCTACTTGCTGAGCCAGCGGTCGCAGGTTCGAGTCCCGCAGTCCCGAGTCTGGTACCCATAACACAAGCCTCGTAGCTTACCATGGAACTAGATGGTGTTGTGTATTAATGTCATGACATATTTATTTATTTATTAATTTAGGCAGACACGGTAAGGCTCAACAAATATTATTTATTGCTTTAAAAGAAGAGCTAAGAAAAACTCAATATTTTATCCGTTTCGTTATTTTATATTAATTATTTAAAACAAAATCCTGATAAACTGTTGCCGCGCTAATAATTATTATTATTATTATATTAAAGTTATGGGCCTGCCGCACTAATAAATAGTTTTTAACGACAGCGCTAAGACCTTACTCACCAGTGGCACCAACATTATTAGCCAAAGTGCTATTATTGGCGACTTTTATTCTAAGTTAAAGTCAGTTCTTACTGAAGTCTAAGTATGATTTTGAAAAGTAAGAATTAGATTACTAATAAGCAAATTAATAATTTATAGCAGACAACAATGTGGTGGTCAAACAACGTAAGCTTAAGTAAATGGAGAACTCGAGTTACAAAGAAAAAATTGACAAAGAATTTGAAAAATTTACAATGAAGTCGATTTAAATATTTTTTTATAAGTTTTTTTTTTGCTTTACAATTGTGATTGTAAGTTAAATACGTTTATATGTGACATTTATCTCTTTTGGACTGACTTTTACACTGACTTTTGAAGTGAGGAAAACTTGAGGAGATTTTGATGATCCTTTTAGTAATAAATAAGTTTTACCCCAAAGACAAAAAAGGAAAGTAAGTCACACCTTTGAGGGTGAAATTATTACTTAAATTAATTTTGATATGGGTAATTCTGTTGTAAATGTAACTTGACAATTGCCTTATGAGCAACTGTGGTTATCTACATGTATTCAGCCCTTTTTTTTAACGTCCCAGTGCTGGGCACGGGCCTCCCTTCAATACGAGGGGGATCAAGTCATAGTCCACCACGCTGGCCAAGTGCGAGTTGGCGGACTTCACATGTCTTTCGAAAACTTGCTAGGTTCTCTCAGACACGCAAGTTTGCTCACGATGTTTTCCTTCACCGTAAGGCAAGTGGTAATCATGTTAGAAATGATTCACACATGAAAATATCAGAGGTGCGAGAACCGGGATTTGAACCGGGGCTATCTACATACATATGTACCTACATATGTAAGTGCTCATTGATAACGTTTTATAAGAAAGTACAGAGGATACATTAAGAAGTCGCCAAAAAGTAGAGAAATCCCGCGTCTTTAATATGGCTATTTATTTCTATACAGCGTTTTTCAGAAGATTTTTTTCCGTTTCTTCCATTTCGTGAACTATTTATATAATATAGTATCCACAAAGATGCAGCTTGGGCTTACTAAGCTGACATAAAATCTTTCCTAATAAATGTAGAATGAAAGAAGAATTTTACAAATCAGACGAATTGTTCCTGAGATAGGTTTAGTTTGAAACAAACAAACTCTTCAGCGTTAAATAATAAGTATAGATTATATAATTTTTGTTTTATTACATTATTTTTATTTACTTCATAGGTAGCATATGTAGGTTTTATAAATAGATTAAATTATTGATTATAATGAGGACTAACAGATCTAATGATATTCTTTCAAATAGCCGCTGTAACATTCTGTTATTTTATGTGCCAGTTTGTAGATTTTGACAATAGATTTTTGATATGTCAAGTGGACAGTCGGTGATTCGGATTATATGTGTTAGGAATATAAAATATAAATGTAAAATGAGTATACAGAAAAAGCGAGAAATATAATTGTAAATTGCCAAATATTTGTCTTCCTGGAAAACCCTTCTGAGCTGTTTTACCGCATTCTAATTTTTAGCGTTATCAGTCTTTTTTAATTTGCTAACAAAGTATGCGGTAACTAAGTTTACTTATAAATCTAGGTTAGTTTTATAAGTATTTACATACACGTTTACCTTTTGATGGTAACGGTGGCAGGTTAACACAAATATGGCTTTTAGAAGGTTTTCAAATACTTAAACTATGATTAACGGAAATAAAAACTCCTTTTAAATAATAGAAATAAATTCCATTAATTGTTAGCTGCATTATTTTACATATCATTTTGAACAATATAATAATATAGCACTGTACAAGAAACTCATGTTATAAATAATATACAAAAATTGTAAAAATATTGAGTCGTTCTCCAATATAACTTTTTTAAATAAAAATTATTATTGACCTCTTTAAATTAAGACTAACATTCCTGTTATTACACTATTATTATCCTCCAACTATCTCAACACAAAAAATCACGCCAACCCGCCAAGCCGTTTCGACGTGAAAGAAAGACAAACAAACAAATAAACAAACAAACAAAAAAACCAACAAACACACTTTCACATTTATAATATTAGTATGGATTATAATACGGATGCGAAAGTTTTGAGTGAATTTATTTAAAACTTCTTTACGCTTAACAGATATAAAAGAAATTGAAAATAGAAATAGCTAATAATTAGATGAGTACAGATTCATGTTTTTAAGATTCGAGTCCGGCAATCCAGCCTGGCGCGAAGCCAAGAAACGCACTAGGAGGCGGCCAACCTCGGTGGGCGGAGTGCCATGCGGGTTGCTCCTGGTACTTCTCTGATAGCAGAATGGATCGTTGGAGCAACCCCATGGCTGTTGTGGTCCGCTTCGGCAGACCTGAAGTCAGGGCGTCGTGGTTGAATACGTAAGTGACCCTGCGACGCCCCGTTAAGACGGGAGAGTTTTTGTTGGGTTTTAGATAGTAGTGGCTTTTTTAGCCGGTAAGTCTTACATAATCACCTGTTTATATACAGGTGGTATGCGTAAATGCATTTCCCAGCATTAAAAAAAGGGTTCACCCCTTATAATTTTATCATGTCCTCCTGTTCTTATATCATAGCAATTTTATTCGGAGAGTATTAAAGGTACGACTGAAAGGTAAATCTGAGTCAGTGTCTCATATGAACCGCCAGACAATTCTGATGTCAAATTACCAAAAATAATAAGTTATGGATACGGCACTCTTATATAGGTACCTACATTCAACTATTGTGTGAAAAACATTTTTAAAACCAAAAAGCATGTAGGGTATGTTATAGGTCCCAAAAATATAACTATATTTTTTTTCAAATCTAATCAATCTAATTAAATCTGATATTCATTTAAGAAGAACATTCAAGATGTATTACATACCTAATAAAAATATATATATTTGCAACACTTACCTTATTTTAAAATAGTGTTGCATCACTTAAGCTGTCGATAAAACCGTCTCAAAAGTTGTGAAGTACTTGTTTTCTGGATCAAGTTTTTTCTTAAGCTCTGAGTGACTTTCTGGTAAATATCTTTGGAACGCTTCGAACGTTCTTCGAGCGAATCTTTTTTGTGATGGTGTACATTTTGCACATGCAGTTCGAACAACTTCTGGCAGTACAGCTGTTAATTACATATTAGGATATTTACATGATTATAGAAATATTTGGATATTTATTTAAAAATATCGCTTCCTAACTGTTATTGCGAAACAAAGTTGCAAGTGTATCAAAGTATAGAAATTTATATTTCATAAAATCTTTTTTATTGAATCAATTTTCTAAGATAATATAGGAAAAGCAAAGGAAGGGAATATCAATAATAAGATGTATATTGTATATCATTGTTTTTTCTTTTTTTTTAATTTTTTTAATTAACCATAGCTAACACTTGTAAGTTCAAATAGAAACTTACCTTTAAACACTCTTCCCACAGGTGCGCACGGTCCTTTATCTAAGAAACAGTCCAAATACTTTTTTAACAGTCTAAGATTCTCAAAAAAATAGTCTATATCATAATAATCGTAACGCCTATCGTAAAATTTGTCTTGAGCAAATACGTAAGAAACAACCAAAATAAAAATAAAAAGGTATTTCATTATAAATATTATAAGCTCAATATGAGACCGCGAAGTAACCGACGGCTAAAATAAACCACCTTGTATAGAATAATGGAAGGTGGAATGAATGATGCAAACATAACAAACTCATCTATTTCAAGTATCTAATAAAGCGCTGTTAACCTTCACGCAAAAAATTGTAGAAAAAGCAAAAACCTGGGCCATTCCGATACGAGACTTAGAGCTTATTTTTTTAAATGATAATAAAAATACCTAATAAATAACAATACCATAAGTTTGTCAACTATTGTAATCTATGTACATATTCAGACTAATATTATAAATGTGAAAGTGTGTTTGTTTGTTTGTTTGTTCTTCTTTCACGTCGAAACGGAGTAACGGATTGGCGTGATTTTTTGTGTGGAGATAGTTGGAGGGCTGGAGAGTCACATAGGCTACTTTTTATCGTGGGAGATTACTTAATTCATACCGGAAAAAACGTTGTAATACAATCCAAAAAAAATATTTATTATCAGAATTACTTGAAACTTGGTATATTATACTCTTCAATAAAATTAAATAAATACGTGCCTTAGCATTTTTCAAAATTCATCCTATAAGGGGGGTAAAATACTGGATAAAAGTTTGTAAGATCTTTTTAGAAATTTTTTGTAGTTTTACCGCGAGCGAAGCCGCGGGTTTTGCTAGTATTGTATATAATAAAATGTAGTTTGTTGGTAAGCGTATCACTTAAGTGCGGCTGAACCGATTTGACAATGTATTATTTGTAATAATCGTATTTTTTTGTAAATTTACATTACAATCTAATTAGGTTGGTTTGTATACATAGGTATATCTCAAGATTTAAGATTGCAGCTTTAAGGTTATTAAAATTTGTAACAGAAAATTATACGTATTAATTATCTTCGGAGATGGAGTAAAAAACTAGATTATTAAATGTAGTGGTTTGTTTGCATTTCAGTAACAATAGCACACAAACACATATATGGGCACTATTTATAAAAAAAAATTAAAAATATTTTACTTGCAGCTAAACTCGCGTTGTCTATTAATATTTATGTATAGCTAGCAACTTACCCTTGCTTCGCTCGGGTTCATCCCAATGTACGTCTTAACGGCAAGTATGGATAGATAGACTATATATTGCAAATACTTATTAACATGTAAATATTACATAGGTACAAGTTGTTTTTTTTTTGTTTTCCCTATTTTTTTATACTTAAACTACCCCTGACATACTCCCAAAACAAAACAAAAAAATAATTATTCAAATAGGTCCAGCCGATTTTGAGTTTTAGCGAGACTAACCAACGGCAATCGATTTATCGATAATCTAAAACTCAAGATATATATCTATATATATACACACACCCACACACACATATTAGGTATTATTTTCATTTCTGTACATAAAAAAAGACCCGACATATAACAGAATTAATAAAAAAAAAATCCAAAAAAATTAAATAAAGATGATATCGCAACTAATCGTAGTTCCCAATTATTCTGCATCAGTTGTATACAAATAATAATATAAGAATTATTCAAGTTCATCTCGGACTCACGTGTAGGAAGGAATTTTCCATACGATATGAGAATTTAAAGACTTAGGTTTGATTTTATTTTTCCTCAATCATTTATTTATGCGATACTTCCGTTACGTGGCTCAAAACCACCTTGTCGATTTTTGCCTTTTCTTTATAGTTAATGGGATAAAATAAATTCTGATAGCAAAGACAAACTGACATGGGAATAATTCTAAAAATTCCGTTTTTTCATTAGATATGTTAACTCCTAAAGAAATAAATAAAATAACATATAATTTTAAAGTATCTTTTATTCCATGGCCAAAATGGTTTTTAAGAATTAATTATCTTGAGTCAAAGGTTATTTAAGCATTCGCAATAGCTGTTTCTAAAGCAGCAAAATGTTTATCTTCGGGATCGTACTTTTGCTTAAAGAACTGATACTCGTCTGTAATTTTCTGTTTAAGAACCTCTAAGAAACGTTTGAAGATATGTTTTTGTGCTGGTGTACACTTGGCACACGCTTCTGCGACTGCTTCCGGAACATCCTCTGCACAAGGAATATATTAGTTTTTGACTTTTATGAATAAGAAAATAAAATTAACAAAATATTACCTAGGTAACAATAATAAACGTTTAAAATTAAGTATATAATGGATCCTTAGTAATATTAACAAAATACAAAACCAAAATATGTAGAAATATATGTATTATGTTTTTGATTTGTTAAGTATATCTCGACTTGTTTGGTAGATTTTGTTTATTTGTTTAATTTCTTTAGATCACAGAATTCTCCACATATTTTCACATGCGGTATTCAACTTAAAGAGTAATGCATTTAACAATAAGAACTTTGTAACATAGTATAGTTTTTACTGTAATATTGTAAATACTACTACTGGTGAATCGTAATAAAATAAAAAAATAAAAATTATATCGTAAAAATATAATAAATATTTGAAATAACATGGATTTTTATTTATATTAATAAACTAGCATTGCCCGCGGCTCCGCCCGCTTTCAGATGACCAAATACCTAATTGTTAGGTTTTACATATTAGTATACTCTTAGAATGCAGTTTTTGTGTTTTTGTATTATACTCAGAAATGAGATATTTTTCCACGGTAAAAAGTAGCCTTTATGTTGACCCGGATAACCAGCTATTATCATACCAAATTTCATCAAAATCTGTCCAGTGGTTTTCTCGTGATGCGGTAACAGACAGACAGACAGACAGAAAGACAGACAAAAATTCTAAAAACTATAGATTCGGACTCTGTATCGATAATAATGTCTATTTCAATTAGATTTCCCAAAAAATATTTAATGTACAGATTTGACTTAGAATTTTATTATATGTATAGATGTAAAATCGTTATTAGATTTTCTAATATTTAATTTAATCTAATTATAAAGAGATAAAGTTTGTTAGTTTGGATGTAGGAGTTGATCCCCGAAAATACTCGTAAAACAAAAATTCTTTAAATAATATTTGAAAATAGATGTTTTAAGTGGATATTAGTTTATTAATTAGTTAAAATAAACGTTTTTTCTGTAAATAGCACTTTTAGAAATTAATAAAGACTTCTGCACAAAGTTATCAAGAAACGAAAGCTAGTAACAAACAATTATAATCATAACTTTTTTCTGATATAAAAGGCAAAAGTCGTGACTTATTTAATAAACAAACTGTACTGCAGATTTATTTCTTATCATTTATGTGAAGTTCAATCAACTTAACTATACACAGAAAAAAATTTCCATTATTTTAAGTCCAATGCCAACAAGTATATTAAAATTTTAAAGTTATTACTTAAAATTTAACGAGGGCAGCTAATTATAATGTCTATAAAAATTGATAAAACACTTCCTTAACCTATAGTGGAAGATGAGTTAATTGCTACTAATCTTTTTTTTTCTTTGATTGTTCCGAGAGTTGTGATATATGTAAGAACTGAATATAGTCAGAAGAACTTTCTATTGTAGAGCTTATTTTATGATAATGTTTTAAAAGTAACCCTTAGTGGTAGAATTTTAGATGTTTTGCTTAAAATTTAGATTTAGACATATACTAGCATTGCCCGCGGCTACGCCCGCGTTCTGATGACCAAAACCCAAATTCTTAGGTTTTACATATTAGTATACTCTTACATTGCAGTTTTTGTATTTTTTCTCAGAAATGAGATATTTTCCCGCGGTAAAAAGTATCCAATATGTTGACCCGAATAACCAGCTATCACCATACCAAATTTCATCAAAATCCCTCCAGTGGTTTTTCTGTGATGACTGACAGACAGACAGACAAAAATTCTAAAAACTATAGATTCGCCATCTGTATCGATAATAATGCCTATTTCAATAAGATTTTCCAAAAAATATTTAATGTACAGATTCGACTCAGTTAGAATTTTATTATATGTATAGATCAGGCCACCCGTGACGTATTATTATTAATAACCTATATAAAAATTATTAACAAGGGAAATGAAAACTGTTTTATATTTTGCAAAGATATGACGTAACATAAAAAAGAAAGATACACCCGAATTTAGTACCTCTGTTTTTTTTAATTAGTCTAAAATAATATTTAAATGGTAATATTAAAATAATTTAAATATGAATTCAAATTAATTGTAGATTGGTTAATATTTTTCTACATCCATATCCTTACTAAAATTATAAATGTGAAAGTGTGTTTATTTGTTTGTTTGTTTATTTGTCCTTTTTTCACGTCCAAACGGAATGACGTATTGGCATAATTTTTGTGTTTAGATAGTTGGAGGACTGGAGAATGACATAGGCTAGGGGAAGATTATCTCATTCTCACGGGAAAACACGTTTAATACAACTCAAAAAAATATTTATGATAAGAATTACTTGAAACTTGGTATTATTGCTCTTCAATATAATTAAATAAATAATTGTTTTAGCATTTTTCGAAATTCATCCTTTAAGTTTGTATGAATACTCTTTTTAGATTTTTTTTTGGAGTTTTAGCGCGAGCGAAGCCACGGGTTCTGCTAGCACCTACACTATAATTATATACATAATTTTATACACTATTGTATAATTTTTTACGGAGTTAAATATCATCATAGCATCGTATGAGTACGTAATACTAATATTATATGATCTGTGGTAATACCCATATAAAGCCCGCAGTGTTACAATTACAATAGATAATATCACGTCCTTCCTGAAGCACAAAAAAATTAACATAATCAAGGTATTAACACGAAAAAAATTACATTTTTGCTTTACTGTTTGCAATAATAAAATTTGTATTTAATATATAAAATATATTAATATATAAGAGCTATTTAGAGCTGGTATGTAATCTATATATATATATATATATATATATATATATATATATATATATATATATATATATATATATATATATATATATATATATATATATATATATCAAAAACAGCGTTTTACTAAATGCGTATGAAATTATATACGGTACTTATAAGAAAAATATAATTTTTAAATGTTTTGTCTGCTTGTCTGTCTGTAAATAAAACTCATGATAATATGAACTCAAGAATATCTGCTTATTTAGGGATGCATCCAAGCGAAGCGAGTGTAAATCACTAGTATTATCTAAGTATAGGAAGCGGCACTTTTTGGCAATTTATTTATTCTAAAAGTAACCTATGTTTTACTCCAAATTATAGTCTATGTGAATGTCCTCCAAATTCATCATACCTTTATAGTGTTATACACACACATACAAACTTAGCATTTAAAATAGTAGGATTATATGGTCAAAAATAACTTACTTTTGAAATCTTTCATCTGTTCTGTACAAGGTCCTTTATCGTTGAAACATTCGGCGAACATTTTCAAAGAGCTCTGATCTCCAACAACCGCTTCAATGTCCAAGTCATCGTTTTCAGAACTGTACTGCTCCGCAGCTGCCAGTACCAGGAGAGCAGAAATCACTAGGAGGCACTTCATATTTAAAATCTGAAACAACAAAAATAATTATGATATGAAAAAAACAGATATTGTGGAGACTATACCCCTCATATACATATTATTATTTTTAAATTCTTGCTAATTTATTTGGAATTTTAAATAAAAAAAAAAGTTATGTTTAAAAAAAATTGTAATACTTATAATAATAACAGCTAAAGTTAAATAAATAATATTGCTATATTTAATTATAATGCTTATCAAAAAAAAAATGTTTAGAATTAAAATCAACAAGTATTATAAGGTGCCATTTTTGAATTTTAGAAATCATTTTTGTAAAATAGTAGGTAGGCACTGTCTGTAAGAAGTATATTATAACGCCTTTGAGATAGGCATGGAACATTTCACGAGTAGCAAGTGAAAAATCACATGAAATGCGTTATCATACGTCACACCTGCTACTTAAATTCACAGTGACTGCTACAAATCACCATAAACTTTATAGTCGATTTTTGCCTCTTCGGCTTGTGCAAATCGGCAGATTATTGAATTGGACACTTTTCAGGATGTGACTAGCCTACCACACCTTAATCTGACGGTTTCAAGTATTTCTACCTTATCAAAACATTTTTTAAATATTTTATTCGGCTTCCCTAGACGCGCCCCTTTATATAGAAGACTTATATTATGGTGAAAGTACTCAATAGAGTGCAAGGTAACCTCTTTTATGTTAATCTGCCGCGCTCGAGTAACTACAGAAAATCCCCTCTTGGGCTCCCCTACTAATACTTCATTTTAATAGCAAATAATATAAAGTGTGACACCAGACCGTCGATATAAAAAATCATTGCCTGTGAAAAGTAGCAGCAGTGAAATCACGTAAAATATACGTAATTTTATCATATGATAATGATTTAAAAGTAGCAATCATTTCCATGCTTACTTTGAGACGTCTAAAACATTAGTCTCTCCCGACCATGGATGCTGTAAAGCAGTTGAAACGTCGGGAACCAAAAATCAAAAGAAATCTGCGAAATAATCCTAAAAGATAGTTTTATTTAAAATGTCAAATATTCGCGTAAATCTAAGAGAGTATTATAAGAAAGTATTAATTTATTAGGAATATTGCATACCGACTTAAGAACAGACCAATCCACTTCACTTCAATGTTCACTGAAAACAAAAAAATGCTTACAAAATGTAGACTTCATATTATTTAGATATATATTTATTAAAGGTTATCGTTGTTGTCAGCTCGTTGATATTTATTAAATAATAATATGATGTGATTTTTGTGTAATAAAAATAATAACAAGATCACCTGTCTACTTAAAAATATTTTAACTATAGGTATTAACGTTGCAACAAAATTTAAATTTATGCAACATTACAAGAATAGATTTTAAAGAAAAATCTACTTTATATAAGAATAAAGATAACAATCGACCTTTAGCCGTAGAGATGCTAGACTTAATAGTCGATAAATATTGTCGATAACGTTTTTCCACATTTATAAAATTACAATAATAATTACAAATTACAAAAACGTTTATAAATTATAAAAACTAAAAGCTGTTGGGTTTTAGTGGGTAGTAGTTGGTACTGGCTTCTCTAGCCAGTAAGTCCAACATTAGCACCTGTAGGTTGTAGGCTTTGACACAAATTGGAGCCTAAGATCCGCCATTTTGATTTTTAATTATAATTATATACTTTATAACACTCGCGTTATTAAGTTTAGTAATTACGAGGGAACATAGGGACGGATATACATACACATACATATATACAGGTCAAACATATAATTCTCCTTTGGGCTTCACCGCAATCGGGCAATTAAAACATAAACTAAAATGATTTAGTAAAATTAATTACATTGCTAGGTTTTTCAAGTATATATTACTCTTCTATACATATAATAAAATTCTAACTAAGTCGAATCTGTACATTAAATATTTTTTTGGAAAATCTTATTGAAATTTTTGTCTGTCTGTCTGTCTGTTACCGCATCACGGAAAACCCACTGGAGAGATTTTAATTGGCTTTAACTTGGTATGGTGATAGCTGGTTATCCGGGTCAACATATAGGATACTTTTTACCGAGGGAAAATATCTCATTTCTGAGAAAAAATACAAAAACTGTAATGTAAGAGTGTAAAGTAATACTAATATGTAAAACCTAAGTATTTGGTTTTTGGCCATCTAAACGCGGGCGGAGCCGCGGGCAATGCTAGTTAGTAATATTATGTAAAGTCCAACAGAGCGCGATGGTTATATGTACGTACGATCGCTACTTATCCATGATTCATGTAATTACTAGTTGGATTTTAATATGATTATCTTCATCACATTGCCAAAATTAAAAATTTAATAGGTATCGTAATCAAAATTGTCATTTCGCTCGACGCTAAGCGAAGTGGGCCTTATAATCCATACTAATAATATACAAGTAAAAATAACTCTGTATGTCTGTCTCTTTTTACGCTTAAACCGTTTAACAGATTTCGATGAAAAACAATAACATTGATTACATCATGGGGAGCGCCACCTTTCGTCTCCGTCCCACGAGCGTAGCCATGGGCAAAAACTGGTTGAATATAATTTTAACAAGTTCAAATTCCTTAAATAAAACATCAGATTTGATAAATATTGCTAGATATATTGAAAAAGAAAATATAGATAAAATATACATCTATACATATAATAAAATTGTAACTCAGCCAAATCTGTAGGTGCATTAAATATTTTTTGGAAAATCTTATTGAAATAAACATTTTTATCGATACAAAGGCCGAATCTATGGTTTTTAGAATTTTTGTCTGTCTCTCCGTCTGTCTGTCTGTTACCTCATCTCAGAAAAACTACTGGAGGGATCTTGATAAAATTTGATATGGTGATAGCCGGTTATCCCGGTCAACATATAGGATAACTTCTTTTTACCGCGGGAAAATATCTCATTTCTGAGAAAAAATACAAAAATTGCAATGTTAGAGTATACTAATATGTAAAATCTAAGAATTTGGTTTTTGGTCATCTTAACGCGGGCGGAGCCGCGGGTAATGCTAGTATAGTATATGGTATAAATTTTAGTAGTTTTATATAAGCTACTAAATAATCGTCATCTTTTACAATTTGAGAATTTGCAACATGACCGAACGAAGGTCACGTTTACATAAAAAAATTTAAATTTTATATTATTACCTTTATATTCGTACTTCGACTCCTGATCTACACTAAATAAAAACAAACTTGTGTTACTTGAATATTGAGATCAGTGCTTTTATACTTATTCCTGTGTTCGTTGCAAAGCTATTTTGCATATAAATAAAATTGTCTACCAAATCAGTTTTTTACTTTATTCTGATAGATATCTATACATATAATAAAATTGTAACTAAGCCGAATCTGTACAAAAAATATTTTTTGGAAAATCTTATTGAAATAAACATTATTATCGATACAGAGGCCGAATCTATAGTTTTTAGAATTTTTGTCTTTTTGTCTGTCTGTTTGTCTGTCTGTCTGTTACCGCATCACAGAAAAATCACTGGAGGGATTTTGATGAAATTTGGTGTGGCGATAGCTGATTATCCGGGTCAACATATATTATACTTTTTACCGCGGGAAAATGTCTCATTTCTGAGAAAAAATACAAAAACTGCAATGTAAGAGTATACTAATATGTAAATCCTAAGAATTAGGTTTTGGTCATCCGAACGCGGGCGGAGCCGCGGGCAAGGCTAGTAAACAATATACGTACAAGTTTTTTCCCATAGAACGTGATCTGAATGAACTTCGACAACATTACCATCACAATTTATAAATAACTTCGTCCTTTTTTAAAGACTTAGGTAGATATATTTGCTTTGTTCTTATGTCTATCTATTTCAAACTCCATTTTGCGAGCTCTTGCTGGTATCATATTGAATGAGGCATTTCTAAGTAGCTTAGGTGACAATCAAATAATATGGTAACATGAAACTCGTCTGTAAAAAAACTTAAAAAAATAAATAAGAACCGACTTCCAGGCACCAAAATGTAAAAAATAACTAAACGTGGGTTTTCATTAAGAATAGATACCTAATTAGATATTTTCGAAGTCGGTGCCAGCTGATCTAAAGCAAATCTAATATATTTCGATACGTAAAATACATATTTACCCATTAGATATTCATTTCTTAAAATATTGTTCTCTAAAAAACCCCCGTTTAGTCATTTTTTACATTTTAGTGCCTGGTAATCGGTTTTTTTAAGTTTTTATTTTTCCATTTTTAGTATAGACGTAATAAGCAGGTAATTTGTAAGAATAAAGTTTTATAATAACATATTCGATTAAACAATTTATTAAAAAAAATTATAATTGTAAATTTTTTAAAAAACCGCTCAATCGATTTCGATAAAAGTTGTATGTGGGACCACCTGGCAAGTATACCCTTTGAAACAAAAAAAAATCCAAATCAGTTCAGGCGTCTTCGAGTAATCGGTGAACATACATAAAAAAAAAATCCGATGAATTGAGAACCTCCTCCTTTTTGGAAGTCGGTTAATAAATTAATGAAAAACTTTATTCAATTACATTTTTACAAGTATTTTTGTATAGTCAATTACTCAATTTAAAGATACACAGTGTTGAGTATACTGTGTAGTCTATCTGTAAGGGAGCTGCCACCGGCTCGGTAAAAAGTTCTGTTGAGAAGAGTTCGCGAGAAACTCAGTAGTTGCTCTTATAAATATGTAGGTACCTACTAAATTACAGTATTTTATTATAACATAATAGCTATCACGCATACGAGACAATATAATAAATATTTTCATCAACAAGAAACTGTTGCTTTGGATTTGCCTAGTAATTTATTTATAATTTTAAAACGATTTTTTACATTTATTATTTAAACCCAACCTCTATTCTTAGATAAGTAAGTTTAAACACGATATTTGTAAATGTCTCTTATCTATATTTGTTAATATGTTTACTTATGTATATTGACAAGTGTATATATATACATATATCTTACAACTAGCATTGCCCGCGGCTCCGCCCGCGTTCAGATGACCAAAAACCAAATACTTAGGTTTTACATACAAATATACTCTTACAATGTAGTTTTCGTATTTTTTCTCAGAAATGAGACCTTTTCCCGCGGTTTAAAGCTATATGTTGACCCGGATAACCAGCTATCATCATACCAAATTTCATCAAAATCCCTCCAGTGGTTTTTCCGTGATGCGGTAACAGACAGATAGACAGACTGACAGACAAAAAATCTAAAAACTATAGATTCGGCCTCTGTATCGATAATAAAGTATATTTCAATAAGATTTTCCAAAATAAATAAATACTCAATGTACAGATTCGGCTTAGTTACGATTTTATTACATGTATAGATTACATTAACTACATTCGAAAGGATTCGTTAACCGACATAGAACTGAACGCACTGACGCCGTAAACCTCTCTATACAAAATGATTACATGACTACGTAGTATTGACCTAATCCAATTAAATTAAGTAAAACGAATAAAAGTTGCTATAACAAGTTAATAAACTTGCCCAAGCAGCTTTTTTATTTTCAACTTGCTGGCCCGATCCATTCTGTCCATATTTCAATTTTGTATGATCTCTGAGCTTTCTGGAAACTTTTTCTAATTGCTCCTCTTAAAATATTATTCAGAATATTACGAACCTTTTAAAATATAAATAAGCTAAACTAGGTGCAACGGTTCTTAGTTATATAGATTATATATAAATTAAAGCTGTTTTATGTTAGACTAGCAGAACCCGCGGCATCGCCCGTCAAACTATGAAAAGACAAACTTTTTCGCAATAAATATTTTATTATTTACAAAAATAAGTTTGTACTTTTTTAAAGACATACGAGATAATAGAACAGGTATGAATACTGATTGTTCCCTAGCAGATCCTGCAAACTGTATTTTAAACTAAAATACATTAAACTTTAATGAATTACTCAAAGTCTAATCCCGTTACATAACTCAGTAAGTGTGCATTTACGGAGAACTTGAGCCATATTACTTTATTTACATATATTCAACAAACTCTGAATGGGCTGAATTTTGAAACATTCTAAAATACACGTTTATTTAATTGTTGTATTGAAGAGCATTAATACCAAGTTTCAAGTAATTCTGATCATAAATATTTTTTTGCCCATATAAACTTTATTACCCCCTTTTACCCCTTTAAGAGATGAATTTCGAAGAATTCCTTTCGTATCGAATGCTTACATCATATAAGGAATACTTCCTATAAATTTCACGCTGCGACTATTAATAAATAGATGAAAAATAATAATAAAAACATGTTATTAGGTACGTTTCAAAGGGTTAATTAATATGGAATAGAAAAACTCAATGAAAAACAAAACTCGTCTATCCCACGGGAATCGTAATTTTTTCGGGTAAAAAGTATATGCAATACAGCTTATGTGCTTTTCCAGATTATAATCTATGTTTGTGCCAAATTTCATCCAGATCCGTTCAGCCGTTCTGGCGTGATTGAGCAACAAACATCCATCCATCAAAACTTTCGCATTTATCATATTAATGGGATTAAAGTAATGAAAAAGGTATAAAAATGAATGTAACCGTTATGCGCGGTTGAAGTAAAACTTCTTTGATAATTATAATTGATAGTGAGTAATAAAAAGCAAGATTTAATTTACAGTTAAATAAATTTAGTTTATATTATAATTTAAATATGAAATTAAAGATTTATGATAACTAAAAAGACACAGACTGCATATTTTCTATATTTCTAGAGAAAACCGCATCAATTGTGGTACCATATCTTGTCGATTGAACTGGAAAATTATTCATTTTTTAAATTTAATTTTTGTAATAAATAATACCAAATGCTAATATTTATTGCTAGCGCCACATCTTATTTCCGCAACACTCATTTTACTATGCATTGACTTACCCCTCGGTCACGCCTAAAGAAGTTTTACTACAATAAAATAACTTGACTTTAAATATTAAATAAGTATATGTATAAATTCATATAATTAAACATTTTCATTTATAATCCAAAAAACTAAACATATCTATACTTATAATAAATCTGTAGAGAGGTCAATTCTGTACATGAAATATATTTCCAAAATAACTATCAGGGGGTGATTAGGGATCGATACTAATGCCAAAAATGCAATCAGTAAAATTTTTGTCTGTCTGTCTGTCTGTCTGTCTGTCTGTCTGTCTGTCTGTCTGTATAACCGTTATAGAAACAAAAACTACTCGACGGATTTTAACGAAACTTGGTACAATTATTTTTCATACTCCTGAGCTGGTTAAAGTATACTTTTCATCACGCTACAATCAATAGGAGCAGAACAGTGAAGGGAAATGTTGGGAAAACGGGAGAAGTTTTTCCATTTTTTAAGCTTCCGTCGCGTGTGCAACCTTAATGGTTAAAGCTACACAGAAATCATGTATGACGGAAATGTTCTCCTTAAAATTATATAAAAAATATCCAACGACAGCATATGTCTATCTTTTATGGTTGACTCACAATAACACGTGTAACTCCCGATAGCTTAGCAGTTCGAAGCTTTCTGATTTATATTTGTCTACTCTTATGTTTATAACACTCTCAGTCATCCCTAATTAAAAAAGTTAGTAATCAAAGCCTACCTATTAAATACATACCTAATCAAATATTTTCGAAATCGGTGCCAGCCCATACAAAGCAAAGCACACCGACTTCGAAAATATTTGATTAGGTATGTATAGTAAATGAAAACTACCAATCAGTTATTTTTTACTTCTTAGTGCTTTTGTTTGAAGTCGGTTATAAAATTTATATGGCTAACGCTGTCTAATAACTATTTATAGCTATTTAAAACTTACCTAGCGACGAACCCGAGCGAAGCGAGGGTGAGCCGCTAGTCTATACATATAATAAAATTGTGACTAAGCCGAATCTGTACATTAGATATTTTTTGGAAAATCTTATTGAAATAAACATTATTATCGATACACAGGCCGAATCTATAGTTTTTAGAATTTTTGTCTGTCTGTCTGTCTGTCTGCCTGGTACTGCATCACAGAAAAACCACTGGAGGGATTTTGATGAAATTTGTTATGGTGATAGCTGGTTATCCGGGTCAACATATAGAATACTTTTTACTGCGGAGAAATATCTCATTTTTGAGAAAAAATACAAAAACTGCAATGTAAGAGTATACTAATATGTAAAACCTAAGAATTTGATTTTTGGTCATCTGAACGCGGGCGGAGTTACGAGAACGAATGCTAGTTCATAGTAAGGAATAGACCAAAGTAATCATTACCTACAGGCTGATAAATGATGATTGTAAAGTAATGGAGTTTCAACAAGACATTAATAGGTCATTGCTCTCCTGTTCCGATTATATAATAGAACTAGATATCATATCCGTCATAACCAGTCTAAGCTTGGACTTTAAAAAACCCCATACATATACACCTATATGAATCTAAATTTCTTAAATCTAGTATTAAATGTTTCTCATGTAGTATATATAATATTTCTTAGAAAAAACATAAAAGTCGTTTATAAGATTAAAAGCAATGCACGTAAAACTCGAATAATAAATTTAAATTCACGAAATTCTGCATAGCAAATTTACAAGATTTTAGAGATTAAATACTTGATTTTTTGTTGCCCCGCGTCACATTTATTGACGTGGTAGGTTACTGGTTACCTACATCGATAAAAAATAGCTTATGTGATCATCCAGGAACATAAGTTGTACCACGGTAATGTTAGGCATAATTACCGTGGTTGTACTATTTACAGGAAAACAAAATATTTAATTATCTTTATATAAAATTAGCTTCAGCTAATTCAATAATTCAGCGAACAAAGAAAAATGAATAATATAATAATGAAAAAATGAAAAAGTTAATGAAATAAAAGTAAATAGTATCGATTTGTTATTGATTTGAATCTCATTTTAAAAATAATTTACTTAAAAGAAATAATCTATATATACATAAAATGCTTTGTCCTGACTGACTGACTGATCGATCAACGCACCGCTGATCGTAGAAATGTAAAATTTGGAGGACATATTCCTTACACAATATCCGCTAAGAAAGAATTTTTCGAAATTCATCCCCTAGAGGGGTAAAATAGGGGATAAAATATTGTATGAAACTCTGTTATTCTTAACGCGAAATGCACTGGCAATGCAATAAATGGCCAATTTATATGCTTTTGAAGTAAATAAAAAATACAACTGACTTCCTCCTGCTTTTGAAGTATACGGTTGATAATTCGAAGTATATTAAGATATATAATAGAACTTACAAAATATTTTCAACAAAAATAATTTTGAACTAGATAGAAGTTACAAATACTGTTAAATTTAAATTGATTTATGCCGATAATAAAACAAAGATTTAATATAGTTAAATATTTTATTTTCAAAACAGATATTATATTGCAGTACAAGTGCACACACATAATATTATAATACTCGTAATAAATAACCTATTTCGTTAAAATCTTCGTGAATGTTCGTGGTTTTTAGTCTAACATGTTGTCGAAAATGATAAGTACACTTTTTAAAATTTCTTCTAAAAAATAAAAACAAACAAAAGTAGGAAACTGACATTAACTAACAATTGAAGAAGAAGTAAAATTATATATTAGCATTCTAAAATCATATTTTATTCTTTTATTAAAGTAAACAAGAGCCTAATATATTTTCGTAGCAAATTGTTGCTACATATTAAATTTAGAAGAAGATTTTTTTGCTATAGTTATTATTTAGAAGCGTATTTAATTTATTTTATTTTGTGTTACTATATATATATAAAGGTTTTATTGTGTAAAAGTTTTCCTTGTCCTTTGTCTGTCTGTCCTTGTCCCTTCAAAAACATGAATTAGTTACATTGCAAACGTTAAATAGAGCAGAAGCTATTCCTGTATCGAAAACGTTTCTTCTACAATATCTTAAAGTACAAGTATTCATCATTATCATACAAGAATAGAAACCAATTAATAATAAATCTTTATATAAATTTAGCTAATTCTTCTTCTAAAGCATCGAAGTACTGGTTTTTCGGATCATATTTAAGTTTGAACTTTTCATATTCTTTTGGTAGAACTTTTTTAAGACCGTCCAGAAAACGTCTGAACATTTTTTTTTGAGATGGACTGCATCTATTACAAATTCCTTCTACGGATTCAACCATATTTCCTGTCAAATAAAATAATAACAATGATTATAATATGCTAATACAACAATATATTCTATATAAATAAAAATCAATTGCCAAATGTACATAATTAAGCGAACTATTTCAGAACGGCTGCACCTATTTGGCTAATTCTTTTTTTGTTGTGTTGGACAAGGATTGGGTGAAAAACAAAAAAAATTACATTTTATACAGAAAAGTGAAAAATTTGGGTTAAAAAGAAAAACAGTGAGTTGACAGATTGACGTTCAGTTGTTCAGTTTCTTCATCATGACAACAATATTTAAAAAATAAATTGACAGTCTTGTCAAAATCTAAGGTAATTAATTATATTTATCTATACTGATATTATAAAGAGGTAAAGTTTGTGATTTTGTGAAGTTGTGAGGTTGAAGGGGGTAATCTCTGGATCTACAGAACCGATTTAGATGAAATTTGGTAAGAAGATAGTTTGAGAGCCTGGGAAGGACATAGGATACTTTTTATCCAGAAATCATCCCTTAAAGTGGGTGAAAATGGGAATAAAAGTTTGTATTGGCAAGCAAGCCAGGGACAGACCCGAGCCAAGCGAGGATCAGTCGCTAGTTATCCAATAGCACAACGGAGATACAAAATTTGATGTACGGCTGCACACCCGGAGGTCCTGGGTTCGAGTCCCGGGTCGAGCCAAGTTTAGTTATTGAGTCTTTCTGTATAGTCTCAGTAACAGCCCGGAGTTGGGAAGTTGGCGGTGTTTCACCACCGTGCCTCGGAGAGCACGTAAAGCCGTCGGTCCTGCGCCTTAACTCTCACCGGTCGTGTCGAGTGGTCGTCCCACCGGAGTATGAGAGTGATAGGAATAGAGAGTGCGCTTGTGTCTGCGCGTACACTTGAGCACTATAATATCTCCTGCGCAGTTGGCTAATCTCAATGAGATTGGCCGCCGTAGCCGGAATCGGCTAGGAGAACATCATCAATATTTATTTTCATTTGTATATATAATCACAAATATCAAATTAAATTTTGAAAAAATCTCGTTTAAAACTATTTTTTTAATAATAATTAGACTATTTAAACAAATGTAAATTATATGAAATAAAAGTAAATATGTTTACAAAAAAATAGTTCTAACTATTATTAGTAAAAACTAATAATAGTTTTCGTTTGTTAAATTGTACAATGAGAGCTCAAGCATTTAAAGCTTGACATTCAAAATTGACCAAAATTTATTTAATTTTCGCATGTCACCTCACAATATACATACATATTTACAAATAATTATATTTTATATTACTAACAATAAGTAGGTAATACATACTTTTATAACTTTCCTGGAGTTCGGAACAAGGTCCTTTATCAAGGAAGCAGTCAACATAAGTTTGAAGCAGTGTAACATTCCCAATAATAGGGTCCACGTCGAGATTATCATTTCCCGTGATGAAATATACGACTTCTGCACCCGCAAAAGCAAGTATAAACAAAAATACTAGCTTCTCCATCTTAAAAGATATCGACCCTTAAAAGAGTTATAAAAAAATATATTTTATTATCAGTTTTATTTTATAATTTTTAAAGTTTATTCTACTTATATATGAAAAATACAAATTGTAACTGATATTTAGATATCAAGATACCTAAATATTAAGTTACATTTTGTTAAACTTTTATACCTCACGAGTGAATGAATTGAGAGTTAACAATATTATGAGATAGGAATTGAAAATTTAAATATTTTATATAAAACTTTTGACGTAATTATGATATTTAAAAATACGTATAGTAGACATGTCAGTCAGTCTAAACATATATTTTATTTTAATTATTATAAAACAACTTTGCCTGTTTATTTGATGTGCGAATAGGTACTTAAGTTTACTTTGTGCTAGCGATTTATCCTCGATTTGCTCGGGCCCCTAGATAGCTAAGTAAGTTTTAAATAGATGCTAAGTGTACTTTAGGAGATAAACACATGATATTGTGGAGTTTTATAAGTTTTACCGCACTAAATTGATAAATATATGTTATACGTCCAATAATTTTAGCTTGAAAAACATACAGATTAAAAGACAAACATTTCAAAAATTATTTACTAGTTTTCGATTCTATATTCTGTACATAATTCGTAACAGTCATTGTTTTTTTTTTTTAAATATTTCATGTACAGATTTCGCTTTGTTACTATTTTACACACTGCGTCACGAGCGCCGTAGTGGTATTTCTCGCTGTTTGTCAATTGGGGGACGGTGTAACTAAAGTTATTTTTACTTAAAAAAAAGTTTATTAAATCACCCTCTTATTATTTACCATAAAATATAAAGTCTTTAAACTTCCTATAACGCTTGAAATATATCAAAATGATACTTAGAAAATACTTATTTTTTTTAGTTTTCTGAGATCATCGCCCCAGGGGAGGAGTCACAGTATAACAGTAGACTAAATATACATTAAATAAAATAAAATATAGAAAATAAAAACCTTGAACTAGTCAAATATATTACATTACATATTATTTGTAATCAAACTAAATAAATTTAAAACTTTATCTTTTTTTCCTACATTTATTGTACCTCACATTTTTTCTGAGAATGAGCACCAATATGCAAATTAATTTGAGTAATAAATTCATTTCTTTTTCAATAGTAAATTTGATAGAGATCAAAGGTATTTAGTTTATAAAGTGTTGGGCAAAGCCAGGGGGCATCGTTTTCAAACCATTTATCACTTTCATATCATTTTTAGTTTTCTGAGATCATTGCCCCAGGGGAGGAGATCATTGCCCCAGGGGAGAGGTCACAGTATAACAGTAGAATAAATATACATTAAACGAAATAAAATATAGAAATTAAAAACCTTTAATTAATCCATTATATTCCATTACATATTATTGGTAATCAAAATCAATAAATTTAAGACATCTTTTTTTCCTACATTTATTGTACCTCACATTTTTTCTGAGAATGAGCACCAATATGCAAATTAATTTGAGTAATAAATTCATTTCTTTTTCAATAGTAAATTTGATAGAGATCAAAGGTATTTAGTTTATAAAGTGTTGGGCAAAGCCAGGGGGCATCGTTTTCAAACCATTTATCACTTTCATATCATTTTTAGTTTTCTGAGATTATTGCCCCAGGGGAGGAGATCATTGCCCCAGAGGAGAGGTCACAGTATAACAGTAGAATAAATATACATAAACGAAATAAAATATAGAAATTAAAATCCTTTAACTAATCCATTATATTCCATTACATATTATTGGTAATCAAAATCAATATATTTAAGACTTCTTTTTTACTACATTTAATGTACCTCACATTTTTTTCTGAGAATGAGCACCAATATGCAAATTAATTTGAGTAATTAATTTATTTCTTTTTCAATAGTAAATTTAATAGAAATCAAAGGTATTTAGTTTATAAAGTGTTGGGCAAAGCCAGGGGGCATCGTTTTCAAACCATTTTATTAATGCGAAAGTATACTTGTTTATTTCTTTGTTGTTCTTACATATAAAAACGGATGACGTCTGTGTTTTTGTATTTTAAGATATTTTATTGGGAAAAAAATATTTAAAGAGTGCGCGTATGAATCTGTACACGCGCAAGAAGTAAAACTTCTGTAGGTTATCTGTACTCTTTATGAAATTCAATTTATTTTTTAATTATTAGGATAGGTGAGATACTAAAAATAACGCATATTAGGCATATTACAATCATATATTTATAGAATATCATTTAAGGAAAGAATATAATATTATATAATATCACAAGCGACTCACCCTCGCTTCGCTTGGGTTCGTCGTCCCTTGTTACGTTTTAACGTTTAGTATAGATTTCGCAGAGATGAGATATTTTCTATAAAAAGTATCCTAAATGTTGATCGATAACCAGCTATCAACATACCAAATTTCATCAAAATCTATCCAGTGGTTTTCCCGTGATGCGGTAACAGACAGACAGACAGACAGACAGACAAAAATACTAAAAACTATAGATTCGGCCCCTGTATCGATAATAATGTTTATTACAATAAGATTTTCCAAAAATATTTAATGTACAGATTCTTTTTTTTTTATTGTCGCTCGACAAGATGACTCCATGACGCCTGATGGTAAGCGACAGTGGAATCCAGAATGAGATCCATCGGTTCCGGGACTTGATCTCGATTCCGATGAACCTCACCTCGTCGGCCTGCAAATGTGCCTTTTCACGATTATTATTATTATTATTATTCGACTTAGTTACAATTATATTATATGTATAGATTTGTCAGACAATAACAACGTTTACCATGGCAACAAACGTTCGCCTAGCCCGATTTACACGTTTTCGTCACTCATTCACCAACTTACCCATCAAGTCAAGTGCATAAAGAAGTTTTACTTCAAAAATATTTTTCCGCATTAAATGGTAGCTTCTTTTCACTTTTTACCCGACTACGACTAAGTCCAAAGGAGGGTTACGTTTTTTTAACTCTATGTATGTATGTATGTGTTTGTGTGTGTGTGTGTGCGTGTGTGTGTGTGTGTGCGTGTGCGTGTGCGTGCGCGTGTGCGCGTGTGCGTGCGCGTGCGCTTGCGCTTGCGCGTGCGCGTGCGCATGTGCGTGTGTGTGTGTGTGTGTGTATGTGTGTATGTATGTATGTATGTATGTATGTCCGACCCTATGTTCACTTGTAAATTACAAGGGATGGAACATTTCACGAGTAGCAAGTGAAAAATCACGTGAAATGCGTAATCATACGTCACACCTGCTACTTAAATTCATAGTGGCTGCTACAAATCACAACTTGGTGAAATCTAGAGCTGTAGCAAACCGTATGTATTCGTTACTGAGTAACGGGTACGCCATCTAGTACCGAGTACCGAAACGTTACTCACGAATGCATTTCGTTACTCGCATTTTCCGTATACATTTTCGTACTGATGTTTTTATTGATTTTTTATTCAACAAAATACAATTTTCAGTTAATACCGTTGATCAGTAAATTGGGGAGTTTATTTATTTCGAGTTGCATGATTTCGGATTCTTAGAAATATTGTTTAGAAATAATTTTAAATTAGAAACAACAATTAAATTTAGAGCACATTTTTAGTTTTTTATCCAACAAATACTTATAATTTTTACTGAATGATTATGTGTAATACGTACAGACATAACCACCAACGCTGAGAACGAGCTAGAAATTAATGAACCAGTGCTTCCGCGCCATTAGTTTGGTGGAAATCTCACTCCTATATGTACCCCAATTTGGCGGAAATATTTCATGAGCACTGTCACATCGTGGTGACATCAGTGGAGTGTGAGAGAGTATTTTCAAAAGCGGGAAATTTTGCAACCCAAAAAAGAGCACGATTAAGCAGAAAACGAACAGCGGAACTTGTATTTTTAAAAAGCAATGAAGACTATTGTATATAGATATCTCATAAAAAAATCAATCATCAAAAAAATCAAAAAGCAAAAAAAATGATTATACACAAATTAAAAAAATTAAGAAAAACAAAAAAAAGTGTATAAAATTCTTTTATAAAAATTCTTATTGTACATAAAAACAATGAACTTTTAAATACGCCAATGTAATTATGGAACTTAGCTTAATACAATTTTACCGTGTGATTACTCTGATATATTTAAAATTCATTTAATTTTACATTGTCAGTCCCAAGCTTGTAGAAGTATGAGGGAAAGTTCATTGTTTGAAAATAGGTTCATTCAAAGCACCATGTACGTATGCAACTACGTCAGATCTATATCTCTGCTCCATATCACATCAGTAGCGCCATTGGTGACATTTCATACTTCATTTTAATAGCAAATAATATAAAGTGTGACACCAGACCGTCGAAATCAAAAATCTATGCGTGAAAAGTAGCAGGTGAAATCACGTGAAAAATTGTTGTAATTTCATCACGTGATAATGATTTAAAAGTAGCAATCATTTCCATGCTTACTTGTAATTACTAAACGGCTTAATCAATTTAGATGATTCATACGTTCTATTCGTCTTGATATGATTAAAAATCAAACTGGCGGATCCTAGGCATTAATTTGTGGCTTGAAAAAAAAAACATTTTCGTCCGAATCAATCGAGTGGGGTATCGAAATTCAAAATACAGGTTTTTAAAAGGTGATTACAAAAATAATCAAAACTTATATGTTTTAAAACAATTTAGGATAATAAATTGTTAAATAAAACTAAACAAGTAATCCAATCGGAATCCGGTTTTGGAACAAAATATTGAAAACCTGTAGTTTTATGATTTTAAAAGCAGGTATATAAGGAACAAAGATTCGTAAAAGGCTCAGCTACCCCCGAGAAATGGGGGGACGCAAAACGTTGAAAAATAGTTCTTATTTTCAATTTCCGGCTTACTGTGACGTTCCATCGAAAAATGTTTTTATATAAAAGTTGTAGGTATAGTAAAAATCTACAACTTTTATGAAAAACACTTTTTACAATAACCTCAAAGTTTTCGAGATATTTGCAAAAACTCTGTTTTAAA